TTATTTATTTTTTTGTAGAGGCTGGGTCTTGGAATATTGCCCAGGCTGGTCTCAAGGGATCCTCCCGCCTCAGCCTCCCAAAGCACTGGGATTACAGGTGTGAGTCACCATGCCTGGCCCCACAGTGGTAGTTTTGAGTCCATTCTCCAAGCTCCACCCTCCATGCCAGTGACATAGGTTCTGATCCTCGGGCCTGGGAACAGCACACAGAGACCCCCCCGCTGGCACCCACCGCCGCCCAGCCTGGTTTGCCAGCGAAACTTCCACCCCAGGGAAGTTTCTATTTGCAGGGGCCTACTGCATACCCAGCTTCTGGACAGACAGGTTCAGGAACCACCACAGCCAACACTCCACAAAGCATCTTTCTAGCCAGTCCTAGGAGTCTCGCCCTCTCCTGGGGTCACGGGAATGGGGATCTGGCTGCAAACTTTCCCGGGTTTGCCCATGGTCAGGTCTTGACCCAGTGATTCTCCAGCAAGGCTCTCTAGGAAGGCTCTGTGTTTTCCGTTTAAATGTCTGCATTCTAAGAAGCTCAGAGAAGCTCGTATTGCCTAGGCCTGGCTCTCCTCAGTCACCCGCTATCCCTCCTCTGCCAAGAACCACGGGTCAGTGTGGAGTCGAGGGGCCCAGTACACCAGGGTCCCTGGAAACTAGGGACCGTGGTGTCGCCAGGCTTGTAATCCAGTCTCCACAGACTTCACTCTGCTCCTGCCCTCCCAGCACGTTCTCTGTCCTCCCATTTCTCCCACAAAGCTGAATTCTGGACGTGGCTAGGGCAGTAGCAAGGCATAGTTTAAGTCTGGATCAACTTCAGCCTAAAAATGCATTTCAGAGCATTTTTCCAGGGACTGAGGGAGACTGGTACATCAGAATCTCCAAAAAGGCAGAGAGGGGTGGTGTTTTTGATCCATACCTCGCTAGTCTTCCCTCCCCCTCCCCTGCAAGCATCTCTTATGATTCCACCATGCAATGCATGGAAGCGGCTTTGCAGGCAGAGGAAAAAGGTTGATAATCAATGCTTTCAATGAGCCTCAGTTTCCGTCCAAATTGGGATTTATCTCACCACTGAGCACCAATTTTGACAAAGCATAAGGATTCCTCTATCCATGGGCCCTGAGACACCCTGGCCTGACTTAGCCTGATACTGTTGGAACCTCTCCTGCTGCTGTTCTCAGTGACTGTACCGAGCCCAAAGCAGAGGCAGCACACTGGCAGAGGCTGGCAGATGTCTTTCGTTTGGCCCACACAATTTTTTTTTTAAATGGGAATTAGCTATCGGTATTTAAAAAATAGGAAATTTCTTTCTCTCTCTTTTTTTTTTTTTGAGACGGAATTTCGCTCTTGTTGCCCAGGCTGGAGATCTCGGCTCACTGCCACCTCCACTTCTGGGTTGAAGCAATTCTCCTGCCTCAGCCTCCTGAGTAGCTGGGATTACAGGCGTGTGCCACCATGCCCGGCTAATTTTTCTTATTTTTAGTAGAGATGGGGTTTTGCCATGTTGGCCAGGCTGCTCTTGAACTCCTGACCTTAAGTGATCCGCCCACCTCAGCCTCCCAAAGTGCTGGGATTACAGATCTGAGCCGCCCCAGCCAAAAATAGAAAATTTCATATAAAAACCCAGACTTCTGGCTTCAAGTGAGATGAAAATAAAACAGAGGCCATGAGAGGCCTGGGCCCAAATTCCTGCAAGAGCCAAAATACCAGCTGCCTGTCTTCACACAGGGCAAGTACTGCCGGGTCACCTCAGTCTCCGCCGCTGCCTCACGTCCTGCTAGTTTCCCCTGCAGTCATTTGTTGTCTGGCCCTGTAAGCACTGAATTTCGTAGTGGTGGCACTAAGGCACCTCCTGAGGACTGACAGCACGGGGCTCCTCTTGCTCCTGGGCAGTTTAGAAGCCGGGAGACTCGAGGGCCTTATTCTCTTCCAGTTACTGAAACTGACTGAAAGGAGAAAAACCATTCCTTTGGAGTACGATATCCCTGCCATCTGGAAAGAGCCCTCAAAGTGGGGTCTCAAAGTGGGGTCCCCAGACCTACTAGAATCAGAACCTCCAGGATTGGGACCCAGAAATCTGTGTCTCACCAAGCCCTTCAGGTGACTCTGATGCATGCTAAAATGTGAGAATTACTATCCTGGGGAACTAAAAATATGCAGATTCTTCATCCTTGAAGATCCTGATTTAGGAGGTCTGCAAAGGGGGCCAAAGAGGATTTCAAAAGCTTCCAAGTTGCTTTGGACTTGCAGCCAGATTTGAGAGCTACTGACCCTGAGGACTCATCTTTTCCCGGCCCCAGGCCAGTGTCCTCAGCTCCAGATCTGCCTCCCATCATCCTTCGGTTCCTCACTCACCACATAAAGCAATGATGTGGCTGCTGTCTTCATGCACAAACTTCAGGCAGAAGACAAAAGGGAGAGCCCTACTACTCTCCAGGGGGCTGTGGACTGACTGGAGGGGAGCTGACAGCTTCTTCTCACGCTAATGGCCTGAATGTGAGACGTCCACAGCCTCCTCCTGCCTCGTGCCCCTTTTCCCTGCTTCTCCCAGGGCTACCCACACATGGCGCCCATGCACAAGCTGTCTGCACCGTTTTATTCTGTTTTCTCTAGTGTGTGTGCTTTGATGAAGCCCAGCACCACGCCACGCATAACTGGGCTGCCAGCACAGCCCTTCTGGCGACAACAGACACTGGTGAATGTCAAGAGAACATAGCACAGGAGGAAAGGAAGAGAATTCTAATACTTTTTTTTTTTTTTTTTTTTTTTGAGACGGAGTTTTACTCTGTCGCCCAGGCTGGAATGCAGTGGTGCGATCTTGGCTCACTGCAAGCTCCACCTCCCAGGTTCACACCATTCTCCTGCCTCAGCCTCCCGAGTAGCTGGGACAGGCACCTGCCACCACGCCAGCTAATTTTTTGTATTTTTAGTAGAGACAGGGTTTCACCGTGTTAGCCAGGATGGTCTCAATCTCCTGACCTCGTGATCCACCCGCCTCGGCCTCCCAAAGTGCTGGGATTACAGGCGCTTGCCACCACGCCCTGATAGTTTTTATATTTTTAGTAGAGACAGGATGTCACCAAGTTGGCCAGACTGGTCTCGAACTCCTGACCTCAGGTGATCTCCCCGCCTCGGCCTCCCAAAGTGCTGGGATTACAGGCATGAGCCACTGTGCCTGGCTGATAATTCTAACACTCTTCAAAGTTGCTTATCATAAGACTGGCATGCTTTTTTTTCCAGAGCATAGGTTCTGCTGAGAAAAACTGAGGTCAGGCTGTGTCTTGTAAACCTGGGAATCATTATTCCATCATCTCAAAGAACTAGGAAAACCTTCCCAAACGGACATGGTGTGAACTCAAGTCCTACAAACCTATCTTCAGCCTCAATACCCCAAAGGAGGAGAGACGAACATTCTTTGAGCACTTACAATGCTACGAACAAATGAATATTTACACGCATCATCTCAATCCCCACAAAAATTCTTTCAGGTGGGAGTCATCACCCTGTTTTTAGAGGAGCAAACTGAGGGTGAGAGAAGTTAAGAAACTTGACCAATGGCCGGGCGTGGTGGCTCAAGCCTGTAATCCCAGCACTTTGGGAGGCCGAGACGGGCGGATCACGAGGTCAGGAGATCAAGACCATCCTGGCTAACATGGTGAAACCCCGTCTCTACTAAAAAATACAAAAATCTAGCCGGGCGAGGTGGCGGGCGCCTGTAGTCCCAGCTACTCGGGAGGCTGAGGCGGGAGAATGGCGTAAACCTGGGAGGCGGAGCTTGCAGTGGGCTGAGATCCGGCCACTGCACTCCAGCCTGGGCGACAGAGCGAGACTCCGCCTCAAAAAAAAAAAAAAAGAAACTTGACCAAGATGACTTAGAAGGCAGGATGCCAGGATTCAAACGCCCGTCTGTCACTCAGACTCTGCCCAGAGGCTGCCTCTCCCTGACTTCCCTCCCACATCTGTTTTTTCTTCCTAGCTCTCATCACGTGCTAAGTTGTCGGATGATATATTTACTTGTGCATTTGTTTCCTGTCTGTCTCCCCAACAGAATGCAAACTCCTGTGGCAGAGACTGTGTCCATCTTGTCACTGCCATTTCCTTGCATGATGAACAGTGTCTGGCACCTGGTGAGCCCTCGGTGGGGATCTGCTGCTGGATGGGGGGGGGCAGTTTGATCTGCTGCGCCACATTGCCATCCAAAAGCATCCCTTTCCTTGTCTGTTCTTTCATTCCTTTCCCTCCACAAACCCCAACACCAATCTCAGAGGCCAAGGAATACAACACAGAGAAGGCGAATGGTTCCCTGTCCCTTCAGATGGGAAGTTGAGAGGAAGCTCGAATTCCTAGAAATCCAAGAAAAGTCTGTGTGTAGAGATAGGCTTGCTCCTACAAAGCAAAAGTCTTCACGGTGAGGAGGCGGCAATGGTTTGTAAGGGACTCTCTCCTTTCTGGGGCTGGAAGGCATGGCCACCCCTCCTGGCCCATGTTCAGGCTCTTTTGCATCCAGTCAAGTGCTTGGGATTAGGATGATGGAGCAACACGCATGCGATGAAACAGAAAGGGAAAGTGGCACAGAGCATCCAAAAAGCACAAACCCCTCTCTGAAGTTAAAATCCAAATCAATCAGAGCACTGGTTCCTGAACTCAAATGACCTAGGGCAGCGGTTCTTAAAGTGGGGTCCCCAGACCTACTAGAATCAGAACCTCCAGGACTGGGACCCAGAAATCTGTATTTTACCAAGCCCTTCAGGTGACTCTGATGCATGCTAAAAATGTAAGAATTACTATCCTGGGGAACTAAAAATATGCAGATTCTTGACCCCTGAAGATCCTGATTTAGGAGGTCTGCAAAGGGGGCCAAAGAGGATTTCAAAAGCTTCCAAGTTGATTTGGACTTGCAGCCAGATTTGAGAGCTACTGACCCTGAGGACTCATCTTTTCCCGGCCCCAGGCCAGTGTCCTCAGCTCCAGACCTGCCTCCCATCATCCTTCGGTTCCTCACTCACCACATAAAGCAATGATGTGGCTGCTGTCTTCATGCACAAACTTCCTGGTGACGGCCTCCTCCATGATTTGCTTCACCTGCGGACACATGGACAGCATCACTGCTTTTGTTATTATTTTTCCTTTTCAGAGACCTCTGGGCAAATAAATAGTTTGGTTCTGCCCTTCTGGTCTGAAGTCACTTTCAGACACTTGCAGAGATGACGGGGATGAGAGGTGTGGGGAGGCAAAGTTTCTTCAGCATAGTCTGATCCGAGTCTTTTGGAGAGGAAACCAGGGAAAGCAATGCCAAAAACCCATCAAACAATGACTGCATGTTCCAGCCCAGGTGGAAGTGCCCCGCCTTGGAGAACGGGAATAGGATGCTGTTTGCTCATCTGTTCTCAGCTGGAGAAGGGCTTCTGGGCAGACATACCGTCCTTTAGAGACAAACCATCTTGGTCCGGCCGGTAGACAAATAACCTGCCCCTCCTCCTTTTCTCCCTATTCTCCGAGGTTAGGGGTAGGTCTCATACCTCTGGGACACCCTCTACATGCCCAAAAGCCCGGCCTTCTTTCCACCTAGGGTCTAAAACTCTAATGTTTGGGGTTCCCACTTGGATGTAAAAGTTCCCAAATACCTTATAAGGTAAACAGTCATTTCTATTTTTTTGAGACAGAGTCTTGCTCTGTCACCCAGGCTGGAGTGCAGTGGCGCAATCTCGGCTCACTGCAGCCTCTGCCTCCCGGGTTCAAGGGATTCTCCTGCCTCAGCCTCCTGAGTAGCTGGGACAACAGGTGTATGCTCGCCACCATGCCCTGCTGATTTTTGTATTTTTAGTAGAGACGGGGTTTCACCATATTGGTAAGGCTGGTCTCGAACTCCTAACCTCAGGTGATCTACCTGCCTTGGCCTCCCAAAGTGCTGGGATTACAGATGTGAGCCACTGTGCCCAGCCAGTCATTTCTTTCTTTAAGAAAGCACTTAAAAAGAAACCTTTTTAATTGCTGTGCAATAAACATATAAAATAACTTATATCACAATTATACAGTGGGGTGAATTTTCATACAATGAACACTCCTGTGAAATCAGCAACTTCAGCAAAAAACAGAACATGTGACCAACACCCTCACCTCATCACGTTCCCTTCTATAGTCACTATTCCCCCTAAGGGTGCCCACTCTCCTGATTCCAACACGATAGTTTTGTGGGGTTTTATACGTGTTTTTTTTTTTTTTTTTTGAGATGGGAGTTTCACTTTTTTGCCCAGGCTGGAGTGAAGTGGCGTGTTCTCAGCTCACTGCAACCTCCAACTCCCAGGTTCAAGCGATTCTCCTGCCTCAGCCTCCAGAGTAGCCGGGATTACAGGCATGCACCACTATGCCCAGCTGTTTTTTTTTCTTTTCTTTTCTTTTTTTTGTATTTTTCGTAGAGACGGGGTTTCTCCATGTTGGCCAGGCTGGTCTTGAACTCCCGACCTCAGGTGATCCACCCACCTTGGCCTCCCAGAGTGCTGGGATTACAGGTGTGAGCCACAGCCTGGGTTTTCATACTTTTCATAAGTGGAATTACTCAGTGTGTAGTGTTTTGTGACTAGTTTCTTTTGCTCACCTGTGTCATTCTGAAATTTGTTCATGCCGTGTAGAATTATAGATTGTTCATGCTCCGTGGTGTGAGCGTACAAACAACTGGCGATTGGGTGGTTGCCAGTTTGGGGCTGTTATGGGTATTGCTGCTAAGAACACTGAGGACATGTCTTCTGGTGAACAAATGTTTTGGATTTATATTTCTAGGCAAGGAATGTCTGATGCATACACTTTGCTTTATTAGATATTGCCAAATTGTTCTCCAGAGTTGGTTATACCAGTTTATACTCCCATGGATGAGGTTCCGGTGGTTCCCAACATTCAAGCCAAACACTGTTGATGTCCTGGGGGAACCTGCTAGCAGGCAGATACTAGTACTGGAGATTAGAGAGATTACCTAGTGTAGAATGTTACACATAACGTAAGCCCTGGGTAGAGCTAGTCTTCCCCATTCTTTAAACAGGAATGTAATTTCTGATGCTGTCCAGGTTCCCAAGACCCTTAGTCAGGACTGTATAGTTTGGAGGGTGGTAGAACCTCAAAACACTGGGGAGGCGGGAAGAAGGACCTAGAGGCTCCTCCCTGCTGGAAACTGCTAATGGTTAGTGCTCATGTAGAAGGGGAACAGATCAATTTATGTACTCTGAGCTGTGAAAAGCTTCCTAGATGGTTGGGCATGGTGGCTGACACCTGTAATCCCAGCACTTTGGGATGCTGAGGCGGGAGGATCACCTGAGGTCGGGAGTTCGAGACCAGGCTGACCAACATGGCAAAACCCCATTTCTATTAAAAATACAAAAATTAGCCAAGCATGGTGTTGGGTGCCTGTAATCCCAGCTACTCAAGAGGCTGAGGCAGAAGAATCACTTGAACCTGGGAGACAGAGGTTGCAGTGAGCCCAGATCGCGCCATTGCACTCCAGCCTGGGCAACAAGAGTGAAACTCTGTCTCAAAAAACAAAACAAAACAAAACAAAAAAACAAACCAAAAAACTTGTTAATTACCTCCCAAGGACGTTTGCATTCAACAGAGGATAATGTCACAGCTAAAGACCTGGAGGCATCTGAAGCAGGCTGATGGGGCAGATTTTTGGGTTAGGAGGATCTGCAGATGCCCCTATAATTATACCAGTGGTCCTTTGTGAAAGGCCAGCCTGGTCTACCAATATTCCTGTTATTTCTCCTTGCAGAAGGGACAGGATGTTTCTCTAGAAATCAAACACTGGGCCGGGCGTGGTGGCTCACGCCTGTAATCCCAGCACTTTGAGAGGCCGAGGCAGGTGGACCATGAGGTCAGGAGATCGAGACCATACTGGCTAACACGGTGAAACCCTGTCTCTACTGAAAATACAAAAAATTAGCCGGGCGTGCTGGCGGGCGCCTGTAGTCCCAGCTACTCGGAAGGCTGAGGCAGGAGAATGGCGTGAACCTGGGAGGCGGAGCTTGCAGTGAGCTGAGATCGCACCACTGCACTCCAGCCTGGGCAACCGAGCGAGACTCTGTCTCAAAATAAACAAATAAATAAATAAAACACTGAAGGAGGAAAGGAGAAACACTGAGTTCAGAGCAGGTCAACTTTTGTCAGGTATGATACGTAGCTGTGGCATATTCTGACATTTCTCACATTTTCTTAGGAATCACTTTTGGAGCAGTATAGTCCTAACACTGTTAGAAACAGTATAGTTTCTAACACTGGTAGAAAAAGTCATCATCCTCTTAAAAAATATTTCCTGGCCATTCACAGTGGCTCATGCCTGTAATCCCAACACCTTGGGAGGCCAAGGCGAGGTCAGGAGATTGAGACCATCCTGGCCAACATGGTGAAACCCCATCTCTACTAAAATACAAAAAATTAGCTGGGTGTGGTGACATGTGCCTATAGTCCCAGCTACTCAGGAGGCTGAGGCAGGGGAATCACTTGAACTTGGGAGGTGAAGGTTGCAGTGAGCTGAGATCGCACCACTGCACTCCAGCCTGGCGACAGAGCAAGACTCCATCTCCAAAAAAAAAAAAAAAAAAGGATTTCCCATTATCTGTGACTAACCTCCAAAACTGAATCACACCTGTAATCCCAGCATATCCACCTTTAGTGTGGGTACAGGTACTTTTCTATTTTGTTTATACTGTTCAAGTCTCTGTCACTAGACTGCTTCCTTTTGGAGGAGAATCAAGATTTCTCTTTTCACTGGGGAGAGCAGAATTGGGCTTAAAGGCTGACTTGACACACCCCTGGCCTAAGAAAACCCTTTCCTGGCCTCTTCACAGCAAAGACTCAAAGAAGCTTCTCCCACAAGCTGGAAAGCTGATGGCTTCAATTACATCTTTGCCAAGGGGAGGGGTGGGAACCAACATTAGGGCATAGTAGCCAGGCCATGGCTAACACATGAGAACCATCTAGAGCTTTCCAGGATTTTTTTTTTTTTTTTTTTTTTTGAGATGGAGTTTCGCTCTGTCGCCCAGGCTGGGGTGCAGTGGTGCTATCTCAGCTCACTGCAATCTCCTCCTCCCGGGTTCACGCCATTCTCCTGCCTCAGCCTCTCGAGTAGCTGGGACTACAGGCACCCACCACCACCCCTAGCTAATTTTTTGTATTTTTAGTAGAGACGAGTTTTCACTGTGTTAGCCAGTATGGTCTCGATCTCCGGACCTCGTGATCCGCCCGCCTCAGCCTCCCAAAGTGCTGGGATTACAGGCATGAGTCACTGCACCGGGCTGGAGTGCAGTGGTTCGATCTTGGCTCACTGCAACCACACCTCCTGGGTTCAAGCGATTCTCCTGCCTCAGCCTCCTGAGTAGCTGGGATTACAGGTGCCCTCCATCATGCTCGGCTAATTTTTGTATTTTTTTTTTTTTTTTTTTTTTGGTAGAGATGGGGTTTCACCATCTTGGCCAGGCTGGTCTTGAACTCCTGACCTCGTGATCTACCCACCTCAGCCTCCCAAAGTGCTGAGATTACAGGCGTGAGCCACCGCGCCCGGCCGCTTTCCAGGATTTTATGAGAGCCCAGACCCTTCCGCAGCCCTGAAACTCTAATTAGGGCTCAGCTAAGGTAAAAATTTTTTTTTTTTTTGAGACAGAGTCTCACTGTGTCGCCCAGGGTGGAGTGCAGTGGCACAATCTCGGCTCACTGCAACCTCCACCTCCCAGGTTCCAGCGATTCTCCTGCCTCAGTCTCCCAGGTAGCTGGGTTTACAGGCACGCGCCACCACGCCTGGCTTATTTTGGTATTTTTAGTAGAGACGGGGTTTTGCCATGTTGGCCAGGCTGGTCTCGAACTCTTGAGTTCAGGTGATCTGCCCGCCTATGCCTCCCAACGTGCTGGGATTACAGGCGTGAGGCAAACCTTTTTTTTTTTTTTTTTTTTTTTTTTTTTTTTTTTGAGACGAATCTGGCTCTGCATCACCCAGGCTGGAGTGCAGTGGCCGGATCTGCTCACCGCAAGCTCACTACTCCCGGGTTACGCCATTCTCCTTTTTTTTTTTTTTTTTTTTTTTGAGACGGAGTCTGGCTCTGTCACCCAGGCTGGAGTGCAGTGGCCGGATCTCTGCTCACCGCAAGCTCCTCCTCCCGGGTTTACGCCATTCTCCTGTCTCAGCCTCCGGAGTAGCTGGGACTACAGGCGCCCGCCACCTCGCCCGGCTAGTTTTTTGTACTTTTTAGTAGAGACGGGGTTTCACCGTGTTAGCCAGGATGGTCTCGATCTCCTGACCTCGTGATCCGCCTGTCTCGGCCTCCCAAAGTGCTGGGATTACAGGCTTGAGCCACCGCGCCCGGCCCTGAGGCAAACTTTTATATATAAGGTAGGCAGCATAGAGAGAAAGAAACCTAGACTCAGAGAAGTTAAGTAACTCACTCAAGGTCACACAGACTAGGTCCAGACTATTCCAAAATGTATGCTTTCCAAACACCAGGCCTCGAAGTCTCCAAAATCAGCACATTTATTTACCAGTCACGGAGTGCCTACAGTGTGCCAGGCACTGGATACAAGGTAGTGGACAAAACAGAGGGTCTCCTCCCCTGGTGGAGTTTACTTACCAGGCGGAAAACAGCCATAGAGGCAGGCAGGGGAAGGAGGCCCAATGCATTCTAATCTGCGCTGCGGGTTTGAGCTCTCCAGCTCTCACATGGGAGTGAGTCATTCATATGGGCACTGCCCCCCACCCGAAATGGAAATGGGCTTTTGGGCAGGGTCAGGGTAAACGGAGTTAGTAGAGGGAAGGACTGCTTCTCTTTCTAAAGTAGGGGGGCTTCCCTCAAAAGGGAAAAACTTCCGAGTGTTAAAAACCATTCTCAAACAAGCCCCTGGTCCCTGGGTAAGGAGGTGGGCGTGGAGGGAGAAACTGAGGTGTGCGGTGAACCCCTCTGGCAGCGTGCACTCCGTAGCTGGAGGCACAGCGGAGGGGGCAGCGTTGGACAAGGGGGAGCTCAGCCCGCAAGACACCCCCTGAGGACAAGGGGAAGTCGGTCCACAAGACACCCACCTGCGCCGCGGGAGCCCGTGCGGGGCCCCGCCCCCTCCCCCGGCGGCGCGGGCACTGAATGGGCAGCTCCGGCTCCAGCCGTCCCCACCATCCCCGCCACCCCTCCCCCGGCCTCGGGCTCCCAGTGCCGCTGCCGTCACAGGGCGGGGAGCTGCGGGGCTGAGAAGCAAACAAGCCCGGAGCGCCGGCAGGAGCCCCCGGGCCGAGGGGCGCTGCCCTCCCCCATCCGAGAAAAGGGAGGGAGGCGCAGCCCGTCCAGGACCCTCCCCTCCCGGCCCAGATTCCGCCCGGGTGCCCGCGCCGGGGGGTGGGCGCGGACCTTTCTGCCCCCTGGGCCGCGCGGGCCAGGACACGAGCGCCCCGGGGTCCTTGCCTCGACTTTACCTCCTTCTTCACGTTCCACAGCAGTTTCTCTTTGACTGCGTCCTCTGCGCTGCCCATGGTGTGGCAGGAGGCGGCGCCGAGCGGCCCTCGGAGCCCCCGCGCCCCCGCCGCCTCCGCGACTCTCGGCTCAGCGCCCCACGCGCAAGGCGGAGCCCCAGCCCGCCGCGCTCCCGGCCCGCCGCCGCCGCCGCCGCAGCCACTGCCCGGTGCTCGGCTCCGCAGCCATCTTCCGAGCCCCGCACAGACGTCAGGCGGCAGGCCCGGCCCCTTCCCACAGCCGGAGGGGGGTTGCGCACAGCGACGGGGGATCGGGGCGGGGAGAGGCCGTGCGCGCCTAGGGGCGGCAGACCCGAGCGCGCGCCACGGGGGTCGCTGTCATGGAAACGCACCCGCTCCCGCTGGAGGGCGCGAAGCCGCATTGTGAGCGCCGGCCCTGGGGCCCGCGGCCCGGCGGCTGAGAGCGAGGCTCGGTCCCGCTCAATGTCCCCTGACTTCTCCCTGCTCCCTCTCCCGACGGGACGGAAAGGGCCGGGGCTCGGGCACGGGGTCCCCTGCGGTCCGAGCCTGGCCACGGCGAAGCCGGTGCAGCCTGGCCCCGTGACCCCTCTGAATCCCCGTCCGGCCGTCGCCGTGCCGTCGCCAAGTTTCTGGGAAGATTAGCGGGAGCGCAGCCGCCGGAGCCCGAGGGCCGGAGGGTCGCAGCCAGTCCCCCTCGCCGGGTCGCCACGTCCCACAGGGTCCTTCCCGGCCGCTCCGTGGGAGGCGGGGCGCGGGTTGGAGTAACAGGGACGGGCGTGAGCTGGTACGGAACCAGGCAAGGTGAGAGAAGTGCCTTCCACGCGATTCCCAAGCTTCGCTAGGGAATCGAGGGAGAAGAAAGGTTGCTCAGAGTGATAAAGAACATGCCATTGCAAATGGAAGCGCAACATGCCCGAATCTAGGTGACAGGAAGGGCTTAGGCCTTTTCGGCACGAATGGAGCTTTCCAGTCAACATGTTTCTATGTGATGCAGCTTTATGGCGCAAAAAAAATGACAATGCAAGGGGCACAAACAGCCTGCTGGACCAATAGCCCAAGCCTCGAGAGTCTACATCGGGCGCCTTCAAGCCTCCAAACCACACACTGCAGCGTGGGAAAAGTTCCCACCGTGGCTTGGCGGAGCGACTAACGCGGCGCTCTCTGGGACGGCTGGAAAAGACCGTCGCGAGAGGGCGCAGGGAGTCCCGCCCCACTGAGAGCCCGCCCCCTTGGAGGGGACAGGAAGCGTTCGTCCTGGCCCGGAAGCAGTGTTGACTGTACACGCGCGCTGCGCCATGGCGGCTCACCGCCCCGGTCCGCTCAAGCAGCAGAATAAAGCTCATAAAGGCGGGCGGCATCGGGGTCGGGGATCTGCACAGCGGGACGGCAAGGGTAAGAAGATAGCGTAGAAGGAATAAGGGCTATTTGGCCATTATTAACTCTTTTTCCCCATGCCCAGACTGAGCTTTCTGTCTCCCGTCTGGGCTCCACGCGAAAGGCCCTTTCTAAGGTGGGCGGAGAGGAGTCCCTTTTCTTGACCTTGTTATGGGGTCGATCACACCAGCCCCTTCTAATATGCCCTTCAGGCCGTCTGGCACTGAAAACCCTAAGCAAGAAGGTGAGAAAAGAACTCAGCAGAGTCGACCAGAGGCATCGCGCCAGCCAGCTCCGAAAGCAGAAGAAGGAGGCGGTGAGAGGAGCGGGATTTGGGAGAGTGCGGCTTCTCTGCTGTTCTAGGTGGCTATTGCCTGGAACTGGAAAATGAGACCGGGTGGGGGTCCAGGGATAGAGCATAGCCCTAGAGCACGTGTCTAGCCTGCAGGTCTAGCATTTTTTGCTTTCGTCAGAATTCCTGCCACCCCGCCGACATACCTGTGGTCTTCTACCAGAGAGATGCTGGTTGTGGGTAGAGGGGGCATCTGTGGGAGTGGAAATTCAATGCTGGCGTGAAGTACTGAGACGCTGAGATGATCTCGGATATCCTTCTATTTTCAGGTTCTGGCAGAGAAGAGACAGCTGGGTGGCAAGGATGGCCCTCCTCATCAGGTACTGGTGGTGCCCCTGCACAGCAGAATTTCCCTGCCAGAAGCCATGCAGCTGCTTCAGGATAGGGACACTGGAACAGTACACTTGAATGAATTGGGAAACACCCAGAGCTTTATGCTGCTATGCCCCCACTTGAAACATCGGTGGTTTTTCACGTCAGCAAGGCCAGGTTAGAGTATACACCAATATTTTCTATTATGTTTGAGTAGTGGTAATTGTTTTTTTTTTTTTTTTTTTTTAGCATAATATGCTGGTGCCAGCCACCTCTTCTTACTGTGTCTTCTGTCTCCAGGGGATCTGCACACTGTGTTAGACATGGCTAAAGTAGCTGATACCATCCTGTTCCTTCTTGATCCACTAGAAGGCTGGGACAGCACCGGCGATTACTGTCTTTCCTGCCTCTTTGCTCAGGGCCTTCCCACCTATAGTAAGTGAGTTAGCATTTATTGTGCACCTATAATTTGTCAGGCACTATGCCTGGCATTTGATATAGGAGTACAACTGATGGATCATATTCAACTGATGGTGGGATGTATACATATGGATTAAACTTGATCCATTGTTTACAGATTATCACTCAGTGTGTCTTTTTGTTTTTGGCTCTCCTTTGCCCAGAGAAACAAGGATATGAAGTTTGATTTCACTGTGAAATTCCTCCAGGGTAGTTAAGTGTTGGGTTTCCCAGTGATCTCTGGGCTTGCAACTGAGCTATTAAGTTGTTTGTGAACTGCGGAGGGATTTTTATGTAATGAAGCAATAGGTCATGAAGCGTTTTCTCTTTTGCTTACAGCACTAGCTGTCCAGGGGATTTCTGGCCTCCCACTGAAGAAACAAATAGATGCCAGGAAGAAGCTAAGTAAAGCAGTGGAGAAGCGCTTTCCGCATGACAAATTCCTCTTGTTAGACACTCAACAGGAGGCAGGGATGCTGCTTAGGCAGTTGGCTAACCAGAAGCAACAGCATCTTGCGTTTCGAGATCGGCGGGCCTACCTGTTTGCCCATGCTGTTGATTTTGTTCCTAGTGAAGAGAATAACTTGGTGGGCACCTTGAAAATTTCAGGCTATGTTCGAGGGCAGACTGTGAATGTCAATAGGTTGCTGCATATTGTTGGACATGGCGATTTCCAGATGAAACAGATAGATGCCCCTGGAGACCCTTTCCCTTTAAATCCTAGAAGAATTAAACCCCAAAAGGACCCAGACATGGCAATGGAGGTAAGACTGATATTCTTAATTCATGTTCATGTGAAAGCTGGCACAGGAAGGAAACTTAAATTTGGAGAAGGTAGTCTGTTCACTTAGGTGAATGAGGAGACTGCTAGTCTGAAGTAAGGCAATAGTCAGTTATAAATATGTTGATAAATCACATTTATCCAGCACTTTCTGGGTACTCTGCACTGCGACTGGCTCTGAGTTTATAGAACACACTCAAGACGTGGTTGCTTTCCTCAAGGGACTTAATTGAGCTGGAACAAAATGGCGTCTGTGAAATAAAGATTGAGATAGCATATGGTTAAGGTGTGGACCAGCAGTGGAAGTTGAGAAAGTAGACTAGCAAGCTTCACAGAAGAGATCAGACTTGAGCAAGGTGTTGAGAAGGATGAATGTGATTTATGAGTTGAAGAAGGATAAAGGAATATTCTAGAAGATAGAGACAGAATGAACCTAGGCACAGTGGTGGATCAAAAGGTCTATTTGAACCTTGAAAAAATCAGCTTGATGGCAGTGAGGTATGTAATAAATGGGTAGGAGTGGGAGCAGATTAAGAAAGACCTCAAGAGCCAAGCAGAGACTTAAAATACCCTGGAAATTAGAAAATGGCCATTTGAAAAGTTTTGACAAGTTTTAGCATTCTGTTGCATTCATCTTCTACATGAGGACTGATATTTCTGGGTCTTTCTGGTTACTATATTAGATTTAGGAGATTTTTGGTTCATGGTTGGCTATCACCTGCTCTTGGTTTTCAGATTTGTGCTACGGATACTGTAGATGATATGGAAGAAGGCCTTAAGGTCCTAATGAGGGCAGACCCTGATAGACAGGAATCCTTGCAAGCAGAGGTTATCCCAGATCCAATGGAGGGAGAGCAAACCTGGCCCACTGAGGAGGAGCTGAGTGAGGCAAAGGGTTGGTATTGGTAAACTTGTTTGTAATTCATCTGACCTGGAATTGTGGATTTTCTCTAGCTGTTCCAAGTGAGGGCCCTATAGGATAGAGTGGGATGGGGATATAGTTGAAAGTCTCTCCTCACCCTCAAATGCTGTATGTTTTCAATAAACAAACGTTACACACAGCTTTGTTCCATTTCACAAAATTATTTGTGTTAATGTTTCATTGTGAACAGATAAACAACTTTGCATTCATTGCAGGGATTATTTAGCTGTGTAAGTATTGCTAGTTGTGAGGCAGCTGAATTAAATTTGGAAGTAGTCAGTTCTATTTACAGTGTCTGCCAGAATTTCCCATGTTGGCAGCAGTATCTGGTGCCTTGCCTAGGTGAGAATAACCAGAGGGATAGGGAAAGGAAGGCTATAATTTACTTAATTTGTTTGGGCTTTTACAGGTTTCTTGAAGGAAAGTTCAAAGGTGGTAAAGAAGGTCCCCAAAGGAACATCCAGTTACCAAGCTGAATGGATTTTGGATGGTGGCAGCCAAAGTGGTGGGGAAGGAGATGAATATGAATATGATGATATGGAACATGAGGATTTTATGGAGGAGGAATCTCAGGTAAGGAAATGAGGCCTTAGGCCAATTCTGCGTCTAGCTCCGAATGTAAGGCAAAACGCAATTGTGATCTTGAGGGGTGTGTATGGTTAGTTTTTTGTTTGTTTGTTTGTTTTTGAGATGGAGTCTCACTCTGTCACCCAGGCTGGAGTGCAGTGGCACGATCTGGGCTCAGGTGCCGGCTACCACGCCTGGCTAATTTTTTTGTATTTTTAGTAGAGACGGGGTTTCACCGTGTTTGCCAGGATGGTCTCCATCTCCTGACCTCGTGATCCGCCTGTCTCGTCCTTCCACAGTGCTGGGATTACAGGCGTGAGCCACTGCGCCCGGCCGTGTGTGGTTAGTTTCTTAGGAATGACTGTGGTGGGAGTCTCCATCTCCTGACCTCGTGATCCGCCTGTCTCTGGGCCTCACAGTGCTGGGCTGCAAGTGGCTTCACTGCTTCGCCGGTGTTAGTTTCTTAGGAATGACTGTGTAGGGATTATAGTGAGTCAGACCGCTACCCGGCCGTGGTGGTGTGTGGTTAGTTTCTAGGGATCAAATGACTTCTGTGGTGGATTACAGGCGTGAGCCACCGCCGCCCGCCGTGTGTGTGGTTAGCCTTTCCCCTCTTGCATAGGGAAATGACTGTGGTGGGATTACAGGCGTTGAGCCACCGCGCCCGGCCGTGGTTTCTTAGGAATGACTGTAGTTGCCAGGAATGAGGTTTTTGTTTTTATACTTTAGACTGTATTAGAATTTATGTTGGTTGGGAATAGGGATCTAGTACAATTATTTTACTCTTAGCATATTGGCCTTTGGGGTAGAGACAGGTGTGGATTTCTTCTGAAATAACTGTAATCCTTTATTCTACAGGATGAGAGTAGTGAAGAAGAAGAGGAGGAATATGAAACTATGACTGTCGGGGAGTCTGTGCATGATGATCTGTATGATGAGAAAGTGGATGAAGAAGCTGAGGCAAAAATGTTGGAGAAATATAAACAAGAAAGACTGGAAGAGATGTTTCCAGATGAAGTGGACACCCCCCGTGATGTGGCTGCTAGAATTCGGTTAGTCAAGAAGTCTATCAACAAGTCTAAATTAAATCAATAGGTTTTTAAAAACTTGGCTCAGAGCTGTGTCACTGTGATGCAAAAGAAGAGAAACACATTTTTCCTGGTCCTGAAGAGCTAACGTTTAATATGGGAAGCCAAGACATACATACAGGAAATGGTCATATATAATCAAGTTCTAGACTGTGGTATAGACTAACGTTACAGGACTTTGATGAAGGAGAAATACTAAGGTTAATTAGCAAATACTTCTTCCCAAAGGAGCCAGTACTCAATTGACTTATATAATGTTTGGAGATTTTAGGGGGTTTGGGTAGAATAGCGGAAGTAGAAGAGTGAAGATGTAGATGATTATATCTGTTCTGGGGGTGAGTGACTAAAGCCAATGAATTAACTTTGGATATTTGGGAGGTAAGGCTACGTATTAGGTCTTTCTCGCATTGCTATAAAGAAGTACCAGAGACTGTGCAATTTATAAAGAAAAGAGGTTTAATTGGGTCATGGTCCTGCAGGCTGTACAGGAAGCATGGTGCTGGCATCTGCTCAGCTTCTGGGGCGGCCTTAAACAATCATGGCAGAAGGCAGAGGGGCAACAAGTCTTGTCACACGGACAGCGCAGGAACCAGAGAGCAAGGCAGGAGGTGCTACACACTTTTAAACAACCAGATCTCATGAGAACTCACTCACCAAGGGGGATGGTGCTAATCCATTCATGAGAAAATCTCCCCCCTAATGCAGTCACCTCCCACCAGGCTCCACCTCCAACACTGGGGATTGTATTTCAGTATGAGATTTGGGCAGGGACGCACACCTGAACTGTATCAGGCCATTACCAAGCATCTTTTTTGTCAGGTTAAAAAGCTCCCTGACAGGTAACAGGGAGCCACTGTAAATACTTTGTCTTTTGTCAATGGGAAGCGTGGGTTTGGTTCTGATAGAACTCTTTACAAGCTGTTTTGGAGTGTGGTCTTGGTTGAAGCTGTTGGGTTGTTTGGAGAGAGAGTGATTGGAGTTCTTTTCAGCTAGCTCCTTAGCCATTTTAGCAGTGATGAGTCTATATAGCACCATATAAATCTGACTTAATTTCTTTAAAATCTTCAATATCCTAGATTTCAGAAATACAGAGGGCTTAAGAGCTTCCGGACATCTCCATGGGATCCTAAGGAAAACCTTCCTCAAGATTATGCTCGGATATTTCAGTTTCAGAACTTTACTAATACTAGGAAAAGCATTTTTAAAGAGATTGAAGAAAAAGAGGTTGAAGGAGCTGAGGTATCTATCCTCCTTGTTCATCTTGTATGTTGCTTTCATTTGTCAACATGCTCCCTACTTTATTCCTTCTCTTGGCATGAAAATATGCTGCATTGGGGGATTAGGGGAGCCCCTTAGTCATTGAGTAGAATGATACTGGGAACAAAGAGGTATCAACTATGTTAAATGAAAAAGCGTGATCTGGGTAGTGAAGCATCTTGAAGGGTGAGTGTAGGCTTTAAAAAGGTCATCTAAGAGACTCAGCATATTTGGAGGAAGCTTCCTCATTATTGGGACTTTGAAGGGTAACTCCATGATTGCTTTCTGCTTTCTTACGGCAGGTTGGCTGGTATGTCACACTTCATGTCTCTGAAGTCCCTGTCTCAGTGGTCGAGTGCTTCAGGCAAGGAGCACCCTTGATTGCATTTTCTTTACTACCTCATGAACAGAAGGTAAATTAGTGTCTTGTAGGAAAATGGGAGGTTATGAAACTTTGCAGCTGCTTCTGACAGTCTAAAATTCTGTTTATGTATGACTAACATTTTGCTCATTGGGATGCAGAAAGTCTCCCTTTATGATTAGGAATTGGAGAATAATGGAGAAGTCAGTGATGGTTTTATTCATGTTGTCTGAACCTGTCTGAAACATCGGTGATGCGATCTCTGGGTGATTCTGAGACTTCTCTAAGTGTGTTTTTCAGACCAGATTTTGAACAAGGGTTGGCAGCCATTAAAATAAAGGTTTGGCTGGGCATGGTGGCTCACGCATGTAATCCCAGCACTTTTTGGGAGGCCAAGGTGGGCGGATCACCTGAGGTCGGGAGTTTGAGACTAGCCTGACCAACATGGAGAAACCCCATCCCTACTAAAAATACAAAATTAGCCGGGCATGGTGGCATATGCCTGTGATCCCAGCTACTTGGGAGGCTGAGGCAGGAGAATTGCTTGAACCCGGTAGGCGGAGGTTGTGGTGAGCCAAGATTGCGCCATTGCTTTCCAGCCTGGGCAACAAAAGTGAAACTCCCTGTCAAAAAAAAAAAAAAAGTTTGTGCCAAGGTGCAGATCTCTTTTCATTTGGCGGCCAGTAGTTGTGTATGTTGTGGGGGTATGTGATAGTTCTTTGATGGGTTTTGGTAAGGGCTCAAGAAGGGGCTTGAATGAGTGTGGTTTTGAGAGTGTGGTGAGTGAATGCCTTGAAGGCCACTGGTGTGTGTGTGGCAGATGTTGGGCTCTTTTCTGTTAGATGCAGGAAGGTAGGTTAGCATTGAAGGGGGCCTGAATGCTCCGATCAGCCTATGTGTGGCTTAAATGCCAGTCATTGGTGGGGGGAAAGGATGAACCTGTGTTTCAGCATCTGCACTCCACCATTAATTAGCATTGTCAGTTCTTAGAATGAGTCTGAATCTGCTAGTTTGGTTTGCTTTCTTTCAGTTTAGGCAATTGTATTCCTAGGCTATGAAGATTTTTATTTTTCTTACTTGGTCCCCAGATGTCAGTATTGAATATGGTGGTGAGGCGTGACCCTGGCAACACTGAACCCGTGAAAGCCAAAGAAGAGCTCATATTCCACTGTGGATTCAGGCGCTTCCGAGCCTCACCTTTATTCTCTCAGCACACTGCAGGTTAGCAGTGGGGAACCTGGGTTCTTGTCCATCTTGTCTTTTGGGAAACTGACTTGTGGTGGAGGGGTACAGAATATGGTTTCAAAATCTTACATCTCTGGGTTAGAGGTATTTTCAGTACTCTGGCTTAAGAGCCAATGATGTTTTTACTCAAAATGTCTGAACCTGTCTGAAGCATCCCAGTGATGCAACTGTGATACTGAGGCTTTTTTGCCATGAGTATTTGTTCCAGAGCAGGTTTTGAGTAGAAGTTGGCAGCTCTGTAAAAAGGGTGTTAGGGTGGGTGAAGTGGTGCAGTGGCTTACACCCATAATCCCAACACTTGTGGCATTAGAATGGGGAATTGAAGACCAAAAAAGCTAAGATTTAATCATATATTTAAATAAAATAAATATATATATATATATTTTTTTTTTTTTTTTTTAATTTTTTTTGAGACGGAGTCTTGCTGTGTCGCCCAGGCTGGAGTGCAGTGGCAAGATCTGGGCTCACTGCAAGCTCTGCCTCCCGGGTTCACGCCATTCTCCTGCCTCAGCCTCCCGAGTAGCTGGGACCACAGGCGCCCGCCACCTCGCCAGCTAAGTTTTTGTATTTTTAGTAGAGACGGGGTTTCACCGTGTTAGCCAGGATGGTCTTGATCTCCTGACCTCGTGATCCACCTGCCTTGGCCTCCCAAAGTGCTGGGATTACAGGCGTGAGCTGCCACCACGCCCGGCCTGGTTATTTTTTATTTTATTTTATTTTTTGGAGACGAGTCTTACTCCGTTGCCCAGGCTGGAGTGCAATGGTGTGATCTCGGCTCACTGCAATCTCCGCCTCCTGGGTTCAAGCCGTTCTCCTGCCTCAGCCTCCCAAGTAGAGTAGTTGAGACTACAGGCACGCACGACCATGCCCAGCTAATTTTTGTATTTTTAGTAGAGATGGGGTTTCACCATGTTGGCCAGGCTGGTCTTGAACTCCTGGCCTCAGGTGATCCGCCCACCTCGGTCTCCCAAAGTGCTGGGATTACAGACGTGAGCCAGCGTGCCTGGCCTTTTTTTTTTTTTTTTTTTTGAGACGGAGTCTCTCTCACTCTGATGCCCACTGGAGTGCAATGGTGCCATCCAGGCTCATTGCAACCTCTGCCTTCCAGGTTCAAGCAATTTTCCTGCCTCAGCTTCCCGAGTAGCTGAGATTACAGGCGCCTGCCACCACGCCTGGCTAATTTGTGTATTTTTAGTAGAGACAGGGTTTCACCATGCTGGCCAGGCTGGTCTTGACCTTAGGCAATCCTCTTGCCTTGGCCTCCCAAAGTGCTAGGATTACAGGCGTGAGCCACTGCACCTGGCCAATCATTTTTTTATTGTTTCAAAATGGTTTTGATTTTTTTTTAGGATGAAATAACTATTTTCGTATTTTAGACAGTTGGGAAAATAAGGAATAATATAAAAGTACAATTATCTTATATTAGAGAAAATTCACTTTTATACATTTTCATCTGGATCTCTGTTTTTTGTTTTTTTTTTTTAACAGAATTTGGATTGTAATTGTAAATATGGTGTTAAACATTGCATTTATCACTTAATTGATTTTGACCAATTTTCCATAAGATTAATTAGTTTACGAGACTTTTAATGCTTTATTGTCATTTGGATATATTCCAGTGTATGTGATGTACTGATATTTATTTGAGCTTTTACAGGTGAGGACTTAGGCTATTTCTAATGTTTTGCTCTAAATTAGATCTGTGTGCATAAAACTTTATTTACTTCTCTGCTTATTTCGTAAAGGCAGATCCTTAGAACTGGAACTAAATCAAAGTCTTAGTTCCAGAGACTGAGGCAGGAGGATCACTTGAGGTCAGGAGTGTGAGACTCCTGTCTCTACAATTTTTTTTTCTTCCTGATACAGAGTCCAGCTCTGTCACCCAGGCTGGAGTGTGGTAGCATGATCTCAGCTCACTACAGCCTCCATCTCCCGGGTTCAAATGATTCTGGCGCCTCAGTCTCCCAAGTAGCTCGGACCACAGGCGTCTGCCACCACGCCCAGCTAATTTTTGTATTTTTAGTAGAGATGGGGTTTCACCACGTTGGCCAGTCTGGTCTCAAACTCTTGGCCTCAGGTTATCTGCACATGTGCCTTGGCCTCCCAAAGTGCTGGGATTTTTAGGGATGAGCTACCATGCCCGGCCTCTACAAAAAAAATTTCATTTTTGGGGAGATGGAGTTTTGCTCTTGTTGCCCAGGCTGGAGTGCAGTGGCAGGATCTTGGCTCACTGCAACCTCTGCCTACTAGGTTCAAGTGATTCTCCTGTCTCAGCCTCCCAAGCAGCTGGGATTATAGGCGTGTACCACCATGCCCAGCTACTTTTTGTATTATTAGTAGAGATAGGGTTTCACCATCTTGGCCTGGCTGGTCTGGAACTCCCGACCTCAGGTAATCCGCCTGCATCGGCCTCCCAAAGTGCTGGGATGACAGGCGTGAGCCACTGCGCTCTGCCAAAATTTTTAAAAAACTTAGCCAGGTGTGGCGGCATGTGCTTTGCAGCCTCAGCTACTTGGGAGGCTGAGGCAAGAGGGACTGCCTGAGCCAGTGAGCCCAGGAGTTTTAGGCTCCAGTGAGCTGTGTTCACACCACTGCCCTTTAAATATTTTAATGAAAGCTACATTGAAGGTAGAACATCACATACAGTCTAGGCTCCAAGATTCTGACTCCAGATAAAAAAGTTACTGATCAGGCGCCTGCAATTCCAGCTACTCGGGTGCCTGAGGTGGGAGAATTGCTTGAACCTGGGAGGTGGAGGTTGCAGTGAGCAGAGATGGTGCCATTGCACTCCAGCGTGGGCAACTAGAGCAAGACACCATCTCAAAATAATTAAATAAAAAGTTACTGATACAGCCTGGCACTGTGGCTCATGCCTGTAATCCCAGCACTTTGGGAGATTGAGGTGGGTGGATCACAAGGTCAGGAGTTCGAGACCAGCCTGGACAACATGGTGAAACCCTGTCTCTACTAAAAATACAAAAATCAGCCGGGAGTGGTGGCCTGTGCCTATAATCCCAGCTACTCAGGAGGCTGAGGCAGGAGAATTGCTTGTTCCCGGGAGGCGGAGGTTGCATTCAGCTGAGATCACGCCATTGCACTCCAGCCTGGGTGACAAGAACGATACTCAAACTCGAAAAAAAAAAAAAAGTTACTGATAGGACTAGACTATCTTTTAGGTGTATTGAGGCAGAGAAAATTTTTGAGAACTAGTGGATTAGAGAAGTAGAAGCTGCCGTAGGTTTAAGAGTTGCACTAATACAGCTTTTCACAGGCCTCTATTGCCTCTGGTTTCTCAAAATGGTTTTGGTTTTCATATTTTAACCCTTATGGCAGCGGACAAACATAAATTGCAGAGATTCCTGACTGCTGACATGGCCCTGGTGGTGACAGTCTATGCACCAATCACTTTTCCTCCTGCATCGGTGCTGCTTTTCAAGCAGAAAAGCAATGGTAAGTCGAGCCACAGAGATGAACAGACCCTGCAGGCCCTTAATAGGATGAACAGTTTTCTCTTCTGTATTTAGATTTGGGAGCCAAATGGTATGGAGAAGGTAATGATGGTTTTCAAATACAGTAAGTCTTCACGTAACGTTGTTAATAGAACAATGAAAACTGCAACTTTTAAGTGAAACAGTGTATAGCCAGTCTTCAAATAACTGCCTTTTGTTCAACATCCTTTCCTTGTAACAACTGATGAGAAAAAATATGGTTTTGTTATACATCATTTCTCTTCAAGTACAAGTTTTCAAGAACCTACTGACAAGGTTAAGTATGGACTTAGCAGTTTACCAGTCTTAGCTTCAGATTGGGCTAGGGCAGGGATGACAAACCAGGCTCTTACATGGGTCTTTAGATGGACTGGGGCAATAAATGAAGACTTTGGCCTGTAAATTCCTAAATAGCTTCTTTGCTTTTGTGCTTTAGGAATGCACAGCCTTATTGCTACAGGCCATCTTATGTCAGTAGATCCAGACAGAATGGTCATCAAGAGAGTTGTTTTGAGCGGTCATCCTTTCAAAATTTTTACTAAGATGGCAGTAGTACGTTACATGTTCTTCAACAGAGGTAGGTGTGAAGGAGGAGGATGGGATCTGATTGCCTTTGTGGTATGAAGGTTGGGTTTCCATTTTGTGGGTAAATATTTCATCTTGGTGTTTTATGTGTTTGATTCTAAGAGGATGTGCTGTGGTTTAAACCAGTGGAGCTGAGAACAAAGTGGGGCCGGAGAGGACATATCAAGGAGCCTTTAGGTACGGAAACATGGGATTTGGGACCATGTCTACATTTCTGCAGTGTTGCTCAATGACTATTGGGTTGGAAGTCATTGCTTTCAAATTTTCTACTTTTAATTTGACTGACTTGTTCTGTTTTCTTTCTAGGTACCCATGGCCACATGAAATGCAGCTTTGATGGGAAGCTAAAATCTCAAGACACAGTACTGATGAACCTCTATAAACGAGTTTTCCCCAAATGGACTTATGATCCATATGTACCAGAACCAGTACCCTGGGTGAAAAGTGAGAGTTCTTCAATAGTGCCTCAGGAGGGCATGGAGTAATGGATTCAAAGAGATTCCTTCTTACCGGTACCAGCCAGTAGTCAGGGATGGGAGGCACAAGTTGTGATTGGGCAGTTTATTTTCTATGTCAGCCTGTCAGTCTGCTGTCCCATTTTGCAAGACTTTTTTTTAGCCTTGACAAAATGTCTCAGTTAAGTATGAAAGTTTTTCTACTACTTAGTCCAAAAAAACTATTAAATCTTAATGAAATAACCACTCTCCATTAAGAATCTGATAACTAAGAGTTGACTGACTAGGAAACAAAATGTCTTCAGTATCTAAAGACACTGAATCCCACCGTTTCCTTTTCTGTAAATTAAACAGAAACAGACTGATAAGCTGGCCTTTCAGCCTGCTTCACCCAAGTTATGGAGGAGGTTAAGTCTACATTTCCACCACTAAGCACAATACAAATGTTCTTTACTTCTGGGGAAACAGTTTGAAAATGTTGAGACAGCACAGCAGCCACTCCAACACCAGCTGTAGGTTCAATGAGTAGTTTCATCCTCTCCCACACCAGCTGGGTTGCACGCTGTTGATATGGAAGGGAGTAGGAATTAGTGAAAGGGGAGTCTAGTTGGTTTACTTATAAAGGTCAGATGAGAATATATGTCCAGTTTGAATTTTCTTATCACTGTGTATACATGCTTCCCAAAGCTTTTCTTTAATTCTAACTCTGCTTCTGTCAAGAGGGTTGTCATTAATACATCTAGGGTACCCTCCCATGTCATGAAGTTACCTAGTCAAGTTCCCGTGGGTCACTTGCTACTCCTAACAGAAGGTTCTTCTGCCTAAGAAGTTATACCATGCTTTGTTATTTATTTTCCTGTTGGAGCCTTACCTTAATTTCATCCTCTGTAACAGTGAAGATATCATCCACAAGGTCCCTGATAATAGGCCAGGTGTTCAAGCCAATGCTGGATTTGACACCATCTGCTATGGTTTCTGGAGGATAAAGATTGGGCATCAGTTCCCCCTTCAGCTTGGACTGGTAGCAATCATCTGCATTCAAGGGTTCAGCAGCATATACTTTCACACTAGGTTTCAGAGCCTGGGAAGAGGAATATTAAGACATCTTACAACAAACCACAACATTGCCTGTATGTCTAAAAGAAAATAGGGGCAGGGTGTGGTGGCTTACGCCTGTAATCCCAACACTTTGGGAGCCCAAGGCAGTTAGATCAGCTGATGTCAGGAGTTCAAGACCAGCCTGGCCAACATGGTGAAATGCAGTCTCAACTAAAAATACAAAAATTAGCCAGGCATGGTGGTGGGCACCTGTAATCCCAGCTACTCGAGAGGCTGAGGTAGGAGAATCGCTTGAACTCGGGAGGCACAGGTTGCAGTGAGCTGAGATCACACCACTACACTCCAGCCTGGGCAACAGAGCTAGACTGTCTCAAAAAAAAAAAAAAAAAAAAAAGAAAATAGGAACAATAAGTAATACATTTCTGCCCAAGTAAGAGCCTTTCATTTTATGGATGTAATGAAAATATTTTCAAGCACTTTATAAATAAATTACATGTCTGATACTAGCCTTCCATTGCCTGGATCACATCTGATTCTCCTGGTAATTTGAGAAAAAGGTAGCCTCTTGGTATGGATAGTAGCTTGATGACATGGAATTCAGGGAAAAGACTGATGGTGTCACTTATGGTAACCGCTTTTGTGCTGTAAAGTTGTCATGGATTAAGAAGAGAGTTGGCTGGGTGCAGTGGCTCACACCTGTAATCCTAGCACTTTGGGAGGCCAGAATAAGGATTGCTTGAGCCCAGGAGTTCAAGACCAACCTGGCCAACATAGCAAGACCCCCATCTCTTAAAAAAAATAAAAATACTAAAAATAATAAATAGCCCAGGCGCAGTGGCTCACGCCTGTAATCCCAGCACTTTCGGAGGCCAAGGCAGGCAGATCACGAGGTCAGGAGTTCAAGACCAGCCTTATCAACATGGTGAAACGCCGTCTCTACTGCAAAAAAAATACAAAAAAATTAGCGGGGTGTGGTGGCATGTGCCTGTAATCCTAGCTACTCAGGAGGCTGAGAGGAGAATTGCTTGAGCCCGGGAGGTGGAGGCTGAAGTGAGCCAGGATCGTGTCACTGCACTCCAGCCTGGGTGACACAGCAAGAGTCTGTCTTGAAAAAAAAAAAAATAGTAAATAAGAGTAGTGAGGCAGAGATGGGCCTTCATCTCAAGTCCCAAAGGAATAAGGGGAAGGAATGGTAATGTGTGCAGAATTTTGAGCACATGTATACAAATCATTTATGATGTAAAATAAATCCTCTGCTTAAAGTAGGGAATCTTCCAGAAGTTGCTCACCTTAATTGTAATTGCTATTCCAGCAACCATTCCTCCTCCACCTACAGGTACCACCAGTGCATCCACCAAAGGAACCTTCAGTGAAAAGAATATAAACTGTAAATAGGCGTATTAGTAAGCAATTTTATATTTTATGTGTACATATAAAATAATTGAATATAGCCCAACAGTTTTACCAGTAGCTAACCAGAAGAACTCGGCTATTTTACCTGGTTCAGCACTTCTAGGGCAATTGTCCCTTGTCCAGCTATCACTGCAGGCTCCTGGTTGGGATGTACCATGATGCCTTCTGTTTCTTCTATAACTCTTTTTGCAACATTTTCTCTGGACTGAAAGTACATTAATTTAGTTTAATTGATTTGTATTTAATAGAGTCCCCAACAAGTTCCATTTGGTCATTCAACATTTTATTGACCATCTACTTTTTTCAGACTTTGTTCAGGTACTAGAGATATATATGTTAATAAACAAAATATCTCTGCCCTCAAGGGGGTTATATTATATGGTAGAGATGAGTGAAGTAAATATATGGTATGTCTAAGTGCAGTGGAGTAAAATGAAGGAATTTATTTCATATAGGGTAGCCAAGAAGAGCCTCTAGTAAAGTGACATTTTAAAAGATCTGAATAAGTGCTGTGGATGTCTAGAATATTCCAGGGAGGGGGTAACAGTGCAAAGACTACAAAGTAGGAGTGCTTGGCCTTTCTGAGGAACAGCTGTAAAGGTTAGTATGGCTGGCACAGAGAGGGCAAGAGAAGTAATAGAAGATGAGGTCAAGGCTGGGTGCAGTGGCTCATGCCTATAATCCCAGCACTCTGGGAGGCCAAGGTGGGCGAATCACTTCAGGTCAGGAGTTCAAGACCAGCCTTGCCAACACGGCGAAACCCTGTCTCTACTGAAAACACAAAAATTAGCCAGGTGTGGTGGCACGTGCCTGTAATCCCAGCTACTCTGGTGGTTGAGGCATGAGAATCTCTTGAACCCTGGAAGCAGAGGCTGCTATGAGTTGAGATCGAACTACCGCATTCCAGCCTGGGTTGGACAGAGCGAGACCCTGTCTCAATAAAAGAAGATGAGGGGCTGGGTGCGGTGGCTTACACCTGTAATCCCAGCACTTTGGGAGGCCAAGGCAGGCGGAACATGAGGTCAGGCGTTCGAGGCCAGCCTGGCCAATATGGTGAAACCCTGTCTCTACTAAAGAATCAAAAATTAGCTGGGCGTGCTGACACACGCCTGTAGTCCCAGCTACTCGGGAGGCTGAGGCAGAAGAATTGCTTGGACTCGGGAGGCGGAGCTTGCAGTGAGCAGAGATCATGCCATTGCACTCCAGCCTCGGTGACAGAGGGAGATTCTGTCTCAAAAAAAAAAAGATGAGGTCAAAAAGATAGGAATGTTTGAGTTTATCCAGGGCTTAGATGATTGCAAGAACTCTGGTTTCCACTGTGTATGAGATGGGAAACCAACAGAAAATTTTGACTTGAAAAGAGACGAGTTCTGACTTTGTTAAATGGAGAGCTCTGGTTGCTCAAAAAACCCTATAGTAGGGCAAAGGTGGATGCAGTGAGACCAGTGTGGCTACTGAATTGAATATAGGTGAGAATTAATGTTGGTCTGAATCAGGGTGGTTAACGGTAGACACAGAAGCAGTTGGGTTACGGAAGTATGTTGAAAGCAGACTGAGATTTGGATGTGGGGTATGAGAGGGTTATCAAAGATGATTCCTGGCTGTGTGCAGTGGGTCATGCCTGTGAGCCTAGCATTTTGAGAGGGCAAGGTGGGAGGATTGCTTGAGCCCAGGGGTTTGAGACCAGCCTGGGCAACCGTGAGACCCTGTCTACAAAAAATAAAGCAATCAGGTGTGGTGGCATGCACCTGTAGTCCTAGCTACTCAACAGGCTGAGGCAGGAGGATCCCACAACATAGGAAGACTCCATCTCTAACAACAACAAAAAAAAAATTTCAGAAACACAAAGATGACTCCAACTTTTTTTGTTTGAGTAACTAGAAGAATAAAAATCGCCATTTACTAAGATGAGAAAGCCTGGAAGGGAAGAAATATAGGGACGTAAGATCAGGAGTTTGGTTTTAGATGTAGTTTGAGATGCCTTTTAAGACATCAAGTGGGAAATTAGGTAGCTGTTGGATATAAAAGTCGGCTGTTAAGGGGAGAGAAGTTGGAGTTGTTAGACCATAGGTAATAATTTAAGCAATGAGACTAATGAGATCTTGTGAGTGTAGATAGAGAAAAGGTTGAGCATGTAACAAATAAAGAGGAAACCACAAACGAGGCTGAGAAGGAGCAGCTGGTAAGGTAGAAAGAGCCATTGGTCAAATGAAAGCTGTTAAGGTGGTACCAAACACCGCTCTCCTTACCTCATCACTAGGTTCACAGTATACAATTGACGCTCCGTAGGCTTGTATTGCAAGTTTTTTACAGTCTGGAGCTGTCTGGGGCACCACGATATAAGCAGGAATTCCTGGGAGAGGAAAACATGTTTGGTTACTACAAGTCAGGAGAATTTAGAACCGAAACTTACGTGGTCAGATGTGGTGGCTCACGCCTGTAATCCCAGCACTTTGGGAGGCTGAGGCGGGTGGATCACGAGGTCAGGAGATCAAGACCATCCTGGCTAACACGGTGAAACCCCATCTGTACTAAAAATACAAAAAAAAAAAAAAAAATAGCCGGGCATGGTGGTGGGCGCCTGTAGTCCCAGATACCTGGGAATGAAGCAGGACAATGGTGTGAACCTGGGAGGTGGAGCTTGTAGTGAGCCGAGATCATGCCACTGCACTCTAGCCTGGGTGACAGAGCGAGACTCCCTCTCAAAAAAAAAACAAAAAACAAAAAACAAACAAACATGTTCAGCCAGGTGTGGTGGCTCACGCCTGTAATCTTGGCACTTTGGGAGGCCAAGGCGGGTGGACTGCCTGAGCCCAGGAGTTCGAGACCAGCCTGGGCAACATGGTGAAATTAGTATTTTGTATTTGTAAAATAAAGAAAATTAGTCAGGCGTGGTGGTGTGCACCTGTAGTCCCAGCTACTCAGGAGGCTGAGGCAGGAACCCGGGAGGCGGAGGTTCCAGTGGGCTGAGATCACGCCACTGCTTCCCAGCCTGGGTGACAAAAGCAAGACTCTTGTTTTCAACAACAACAACAAAAAAAAATTAAAAGAAACTGATGTTCATATTGCTTGCAATCAGATGGAGATTTCTTTGGAAAGTTACTTCCCAAAGCTATCATCACTCTCATGGAAATGAAGGACACTTTTCCCCTCCTTTCTGATGATCTACCCAGTACCTTGAGAAATCAAGTACCTTCCAGTTTGGCAGCATAGGTGAGAGCCTGGCCATGGTTTCCACTGCTGTGAGTAACAACAGCTTTCGGCTTCCCTTCTAAAGCATCAGGAACCAAGCTTCTGACGGCATTAAGAGCACCACGGATCTGAAAAAGAGGGATGGTGAATTCACATACTTGATTAAAACATTGTTTTGAAAAGCAAGGAGCTTTTCTAGATTTTCTATACTTAACATGCACATCCAATCTGTCACCAAATCTTATCAATTTACCTTCTAAATATCTCATGTGCATCTTTATTTTTTTATTTTTTGTTTTTTTGAGATGGAGTCTCTGTTACCCCAGCTGGAGTGCAGTGGCCCAATCTCAGCTCACTGCAATGTCCACCTTCCCACACCGCACCTTCCCCCAGGGTCGGGTTCAAGTGATTCTCCTGCCTCAGCCTCCCAAGTAGCTGGGATTATAGGCCCCTGCCACCAAGCCTGGCTAAATTTTTTTTTTTTAAGACCTAGTCTCGCTCTGTTGTCACCCAGGCTGGAGTGCAGTGCTGCGATCTCGGCTCACTGCAAGCTCCACTTCCTAGGTTCACACTATTCTCCTGCCTCAGCCTCCCGAGTAGCTGGGACTACAGGTGCCCACCCCCATGCCCAGCTAATTTTTTTGAACTTTTAGTAGAGACAGGGTTTCCTTGTGTTAGCCAGGATGGTCGCGATCTCCTGACCTCGTGATCCACCTGCCTTAGCCCCACAAAGTGCTGGGATTACATGCGTGAGCCTCCGCGCCCGGCCTTTTTCATTTTTATTTATTTATTTATTTTTGAGATGGAGTCTTGCTCTATTGCTCACACTGGAGTGCAGTGGTGCAATCTCAGCTCACTGCAACCTCCGCCTTCTGGGTTCAAGCGATTCTCCTGCCTCAGCCTCCCAAGCAGCTGGCATTACAGGTCCTGGCACCAAGACCGGCTCATTTTGTATTTTTAGTAGAAAGGGTTTCACCAAGGCCGGGCACTGTGGCTCACGCCTGTAATCCCAGCACTTTGGGAGGCCAAGGCGGGCGGATCACGAGGTCAGGAGATCAAGACCATCCTGGCTAACACAGTGAAGCCCCATCTCTACCAAAAATACAAAAAGAAATTAGCCAGGCGTGGTGGTGGGCGCCTGTAGTCCCAGCTACTCGGGAGGCTGAGGCAGGAGAATGGTGTGAACCTGGAAGGTGGAGCTTGCAGTGAGCTGAGATGGTGCCAGTGCACTCCAGCCTGGGGGACAGAGCGAGACTCCGTCTCCAAACAAAACAAAATGAAAAAGTGTTTCATCATGTTGGTCAGGTTGGTCTCAAACTCCTGACCTCAGATGATCTACCTGCTTCAGCCTCCCATAGTGCTGGGATTACAGGTGTGAGCCACTGTGCCTGGCATATATTTGTATTTTTTGTAGACAGGGTTTTGCCCTGTGGCCCAGGCTTAGATCTTTTATATTCATAATGTATCCATGTATAGCAGGTTGATAACAGTGAATGCTTAAACTTGGGTCATATACAGAGTGATCACACTTTCCAATTTGCCTACAACAGTTTGGGTGTCTCAGTTTAGCCATTTCAGGTTGCTTCTTTTAGTCTGAAACATGTCCTAGTTTGGATAATAAATTATGTCTTAGTTTAGATGGTAAGTGATGGTATATATAATAAAGTCATGCTTTCCTTAAGGATGGGGATATGTTTTGAGAAATGCATGATTTGGCAATGTCATCATTGTATGTGCATCATAGAGTGTACTTTTATACAAACCCAGCTGTTACAGCCTATTGCTCCTAGGCTGCAAACCCTGTGTAGCATGTTACTGCACTGAATACTGTAGGCAGCTATAACACAATGACAAGTATTTCTGTATCTAAACACAGAAATGGTACAGTAAATGTATAGTATTATAACCTTATGGGGCCAAGGACCACCATCATATAGGTGGTCTATCATTGACTGAAACGTTATGTAGCACATGACTGTATTTTATGTATATACTATATATATACACACACATACATATTATATATAAAAATTACTTGGATAGTTATATATATGATCTTAATTATAAGGATTTTGTGACTGTGTAAAGTGGCTTATCAACACTATGATGCTAGGTAAAACAAGAACTTGCAAGGAAAATTTCTGTAACCTCTTTTCCAACCGTGTAAAGGCATTAATTTACTTCTTTGCCTGTCTCATTGGGTGGTCAGAATCAAATTGATATGTGAAGGGGTTTGAAAACAAACATGATATGCTGAGAAAAAGGATTGTTACCTTAAAAGATCCTGTCTTCTGGAAGAGCTCACATTTGAAGAAAAGATTGCGCCCTGTTAGTTGATTCAAAATGGAGCTTGTTAGCACTGGTGTGAGGTGGATAGAATCTCGAATGTTGATATGTGCTTTTTCAACATCAGCAAAGGAGATGCAGTACTGAGCACACATGGTTCTGAAACCCAGGAATAAGAAAGGGGTCAAAGCAAAGTCCGAGACAATATGTTTATTGATTTTGAAAATACATAACAGAATAGACCTGGGGCCTGTGGTGTCATGTGGAAACTCTCCATTACTGGAGTGCCAGAATTTCTCTAAAAGAGATTTGACTTGAAAGCTGAACAAAGCTTTTCTGATGAAGCTTTGAGGGAAGTTAACTGATGGTGATTACAGAAGGCTAAAGCCCATTCCCCACCACACCACCCATCTCTTCGCACTGTTGGCACTGCCACTGGTCTCCACCTTACTTTTTTTTTTTTTCCTTTTTTTTTGAGATGGAATCTTGCTCTGTAGCCCAGGCTGGAGTGCAGTGGCACGATCTCAGCTCACTGCAACCTCCACCTCCCGGGTCCCAGTTCGAGCAATTCTCCTGCCTCAGCCTCCCGAGTAGCTGGAATTACAGGAATGTGCCATTGTGCCCAGCTACTTTTTGTATTTTTAGTAGAGACAGCGTTTCACCATGTTGGCCAGGCTGGTCTTCAACGTCTGACCTCATGATCCGCCTGCCTTGGCTTCCCAAAGTGTTGGGATTATAGGCGTGAGCCACTGTGCCCAGCTCCACCTTTCTTTTAATCATTGTTGTGAAGCTACTTGAATGAACTGGATTCAATTTTTATATTATTTTTAATTTATAAATTTTTAAATTTTTAGTAAACATTTAATAAATTGTTTATTGATAAAAGAAAAAATAGCTAGACTTTTCCATTTTAATAACTATGTTCATTTTCTTTATTTCCCTCTGCATTTTTTTTTGTTTTTCGAGATGGAATTTCGCTCTTGTTGCCCAGGCTGGAGTGCACTGGTGCAATCCTGGCTCACCACAACCTCTGCCTCCCATGTTCAAGCGATTCTCCTGCCTCAGCCTCCCGAGTAGCTGAGATTACAGGTATGTGCCACCATGCCCAGCTAATTTTGTATTTTTAATAGAGATGGGTTTCTCCATGTTGGTCAGGCTAGTCTCGAACTCCTGACCTCAGGTGAGCCGCCCGCCTCAGACTCCCAAAGTGCTGAGATTAGAGGCATGAGCCACTGCGCCCAGCTCCTTCTGCATTCTCAATATACATTACATAATAGTTAAAGCAAGCATTTTGTTTACTCCTACTACATTTGGCTCAGTTTATTTACAATTTTCAAAATTATAATTTTCAATAACTACATTAAGCTTCCACTTTCCACTGTGTTTATTGTAGTAGTTAAATATGAAGTTTCTCTATTTTTCCTTATTACAAAAGAATCTATCTTCATTAGAAAACCGAGTTAATCTGAAAATACAGAGATACAAAAAGAACATGAAAATAGACACTAAACCTTCCTACTTAAAGACAGTTGCTATCTAGTGGTTTACCTTTCCAGGCCCAACTACATATGAAGACAAAACTCTTTGGTAGATTTGGTAACTTGTTTTTATCAGACAATAATATGAATATCAGTGAATCTTATCAGTGAGTGCATTTATCCACCTTTTTTTTTTTTTTTTGAGATGGAGTTTCGCTTTGTCACCCAGACTAGAGTGCAGTGGCATGATTGTGGCTCACTGCGACTTCTGCCTCCCGGGTTCAAGCAATTCTCCTGCCTCAACCTCTGGAGTTGCTGGGATTACAGGTGCCCGCCACCACACCCAGCTAATTTTTATATTTTTAGCAGAGGCAGGGATTCACTATGTTGGCCAGGCTGGTCTCTAACTCCTGACCTCAGGCAATCCACCCGCCTCAGCCTCCCAAAGTGCTGGGATTACAGGCGTGAGCCACCGCACCCGGCTTTATCCAACTTTTAAAATGACAAAAATACAGTAATTTAGCTGGGTGCAGTGACACATGCTGGTGGTCCCCTCTACTTGGAAGGCTGAGGCAGGAGGCTTGCTTGAGCCCAGGAGTGTGTTATGATCATGCCTAGGAATAGCCACTGTACTGTGGCCTGGGCAATGTAAGCAAGACCCTGTCTCTTAAAAAAGAAAAAATCATAATTTTAAGTTTACATAGCTCAAATGAACATTTGGATTTCCTTTTGTTGTTGTTGGCTGTAAGAACGATGTAACGAATAGCCTTGTTGCAAGATTTTTGTGTACCTCCCTCAGTCCTTAGGGTAGATTTCACCAAATGGTATTTTGTATCAAAAGGCATGCACATTTCTAAGACATCTGATACCCACTGCCAAACTGATCTCCAGAAGGGTCCTATATTACATCAATTCGTACTCCCAACAACAATTTTAATGGAATGCTTATTTTCCTTCATTCTTTCTATATCATTTTTATGTCACTTTAATTATGTCTAGTAGTTGTTTTATTTTTGAGACAGAATCTCGCCCTGTCACCCAGACTGGAGTGCAGTAGTGGGATCTTGGCTCACTGCAACCTCCACCTCCCAGGTTCAAGTGATGCTCCTGCCTCAGCCTCCCAAGTAGCTGGGACTACAGGTGCCTGCCACCATACCTGGCTAATTTTTTGTATTTTTAGTAGATACGGGGTTTCACCGTGTTAGCCAGGATTGTCTCCATCTCCTGACTTTGTGATCTGCCCGCCTTGGCCTCCCCAAGTGCTGGGATTATAGGCGTGAGCCACTGTGCCCGGCCTGAACATTTTTTTCTGTATCTTGGCCACTTGCTCTTTTCTGAAATTTTTTTTTTTTTTTTTTTCCAGATAAGGTCTCACTCTGTTGTCCAGTGGCTCAATTATGCCTCACTACAGGTTCAAACTCTTGAGCTCAAGTGATCTTCCCGCCTCAGTCTCCCAAGTTCCTGGGACTATGACTGTGCACCACCATACCCGGGTTAAGTTTTTAAAATTTTATTTTAGTTGAGAGGAAGTGTTGCTGTGTTGCCCAGGCTGGTCTCAAACCCCTGAGCTTACGTGATTCTTCTGCCTTGGCCTCCCAAAGTGCTAGGATTACAGGTGTGAGCCACCGCGCCCGGCCGACTCAATATTTTTTAATGTCAATTATGCCCCGTCGGCTGGGCACAGTGGCAGGACGATTGCTTAAACCCAGGAGTTCAAGGCTGCCGTGAGTTATGGTTGCACCACTGCAAAAGCAAGACCCTGTCTATTAAAAAACAAAACAAAACAAAAACAAGAGAGCAAAAAATAGTTGGCTGGGCATGGTAGCTCATGCCTGTAATCCCAGCACTTTTGGAGGCCAAAGCGAGTGGATCACCTGAGGTCAGGAGTTCGAGACCAGAATGACTAACATGGTGAAATCCTGTCTCCATTAAAAAAACAAAAATTAGTGGGAGTAGTGGCATGCACCTGTAGTCCCAGGTACTAGGGAGGCTGAGGCAGAAAAATCGCTTGAACCTGGAAGGCAAAGGTTGCAGTGAGCCGAGATCGTTCCACTGCACTCCAGCCTGGGTGACAAAGTGAGACCCTGTCTCAAAAAAACAACAACAAAAAATCCCAAAAAACCATGCCAGGCCTGAAGACTCAATATTTTTATGAATAAATGTCAATTATGCCCCCTTGGCAGGGTGCAGTGGCTCATACCTGTAATCTCAGCACTTTAGGTGGCCAAGGCGGGTGGACTGCTTGAGTTCAGGAGTTCAAAACCAGCTTGGGCAACATGTTGAAACCCTATCTCTACCAAACGTACAAAAATTAGCTGTGCACGTGGCAGGCACCTGCAGTGGTAATTCTATGATAAACAGTATGGTACTTCCTCAAAAAATTGAACAATGAATCATCCTATGATCTAGCAACTCCATTCCTACATGTAGACCCTGTCTCTCAATAACAACAACAAAACCCAAAATACAAAACACCCACTATCAAACATAAGATATGTTTTGGAGGTTGTAAATAGTTAGTCCTCTTAGTTGCAAGTGATAGAACCTCAATCTGAACTACCTTAGTAGGCACAAGGTGAAGGTGTTGAGATTTACTAGCTCATGGAATCCATGAAGAGTTGAATAAACCATGGTAATGGGAGGAATATGAAGCTTCAGGAACAACTGGAACCAGAGATTTGAGAGCTTCCCAGACTCTTAGTCTCTCACCTCTGCTGCTTTCTGCATGTCGCCTTCTTTTTCACTGCAGGCGAGCTGGTTCCATATGGAACCAACTGACACGTGGCTGCTGACAGCTCGTATGTTTTACATTTTATGGCTTCCACACTGGAGGCAAATTTTCTTTCTCAGTTTCAGTTCAAAAAATTCTGGGTAAGGACTCTGGCTCATCTTGGCCCAGCACCAGTGGCCAGGGTATGAGGTCATTTAAGACAACAGTATGCAATAGTCAGAAGTATTTACATAAACATGAAAAAGAAACAGAATGAGATCTGTAACACAGTATCAGTTAGGTACATTTAAAACACATACATACATAAAACAACATTACATATTACTGAAAGATACATGTATATTCAAAGACATATATCGAACACATTGGAGTGACTACCTAAGAAGGGAGAGAAAGAACATGAGTGGAAACTGGAATGAAGAGAAAAAAGATAAAATGAGAAAGGCCTTGTTAATGACAGTGTGGATAAATGAGTATGACTGGCTCAATTCTCTGCACCTGAGGGGAAAATAGCAAAATAAAGAAGTGATGGAGGAAAGAAAACAAAGAAAAGAAAAAGTTTTTTTGAGTGGGAGTAAGGGGCATTTTCCAAGTGAAAATAAAGGGGAGAATGCTGGGGAGATGATTCCATACATGTTCGTTACAGGAACAGAAGAGATATATCCTGATAGTGGATTGAATGGGGGACAGAGGTGTGAAGAATAAATCCTGGGCCAGGTATGGTGGCTCACACCTGTATTCCCAACACTTTGGAAGGCCAAGGTGGGAAGATTGCCAGAGGCAAGGAGTTTGAGACCAGCCTGGGCAACACAGGGAAACCCTGACTTTACAAATTATTATTATTATTATTTTGAGATGGAGTTTTGCTCTTGTCACCCAGGCTGGAGTGCAATGGCGCAATCAGGGCTCACTGCAACCTCCGCCTCCCGGATGCAAGCGATTCTCCTGCCTCAGCCTCCCAAGTAGCTGGGATTATAGGCAGGTACCACTACACCTGGCTAATGTTTTCTGTTTAGTAGGGATGGCGTTTCACCATGTTGGTCGGGCTGGTCTCAAACTCCTGACCTCAGGTGATCCACCTGCCTCAGGCTCCCAAAGTGCTGGGATTACAGGTGTGAGCCATCACACCCGGCCAAATTTTTTTTTTTTTGAGATGGAGTCTCACTCTGTCGCCAGGCTGGAGTGCAGTGGTGTGATCTTGGCTCACTGCAACCTCTGCCTCTTAGGTTCAAGTGATTCTCCTGCCTCGGTCTCCCGAGTAGCTGGGATTACAGGCGCCCGCCACCATGTCCAGCTAGTTTTTGTATTTTTAGTAGAGATGGGGTTTCACCATGTTGGCCAGGCTGGTCTCGAACTCCTGACCTCCAGTGATCTGCCCACCTTGGCCTCCTACAGTGCTGGGATTACAGGTGTGAGGCACTGGCTTGAATAGCTTGAACCCAGGAGGCGGAGGTTGCAGTGAGCCAAGATCGCGCCACTGCATTCCATTCTAGGTGACAGAGCGAGACTCCACCTCAAAAAAAAAAAAAAGGGAATAGTAATAACTACTCTTAGCAGATCTTCGAGGTCTCAAGTAATGGCCCGCGGTGCTAGTCCGGGCCTAAAATTGTTGTTTTTAAAAAAAATTCCAAATACCTAGACTTTTTTGCTTAATTTGTGGCTATTCATTTCTAATTTTATTACTTTGTGCTCAGTAAAAACGACCTGTAGAATTTTTACTTTTAGAAACTGAATTCAGGGCTGGGCGCCGTGGCTCACGCCTGTAATCCCAGCACTTTAGGAGGTTGAGGCGGGTGGATCACCTGAGGTCAGGAGTCCGAGACCAGCCTGGTCAACATGGTGAAACCCCATCTCTACTAAAAATATAAAAAATTAGCCGGGCATGGTAGTGGGCACCTGTAATCCCAGCTACTCGGGAGGCTGAGGCAAGAGAATCACTTGAAACCAGGAAGCAGGTTGAGGTGAGACAAGATTGTGCCACTGCATTCCAGCCTGGACAACAAGAGTGAAACTCCGTCTCAAACAACGAAAAACAAAAAACAAAAAAACTCAGCACCTTTCATTGTTAACTCAGACCTAAATATGGTTGTCTTTCCTTTCATTTCTTTTTACCTGGTATTTCATGAATCCTTTAAATCTGAGAATTCAAAAATTTTCACCAACTTAGTAAATTTTCTTCTACTATTTGATTATTGCTCTTCTGCAGTCAGCTCTATTATCCCCTTCTGGAACTCATATTTAATTATTAATTTTTTGTACCCCTTCTCCATGTCTCCCATCTTTGTCTCTCAGTTTTTATCTATTACCTTTTCCTTCTGAGTTCAGTAAATTTTCTTGAACTGGTTTAACTTTTGGCATATCTAATCTGCAGTTCACTGACACTGTTGCATTACATTGGCAGTGCCATTTGTCCTAAGAAAGTTTTCTTGTTTTCCATTATTTTTCCATCTTAAAAAAAAAATCATGCGATGGCCTCTCAAATTTCAATGTGAAACAGATTATTTTTTAACACTTCTTCCTATTTCTCTCAAATCTGGTGGCAAAGGCTGTTATTTGCTCTGACCACTCAAATGATTCCTCTTCTGAACTGTTGGATCTTTTCACCCAGCTACTGACTTTCTCCTTATGCTTAACTTTCTGGTGACAAAATGTCATGTAAAAGGAACTGAAGGAGTTCTGTCAGAGGTTGTGGCAATCCCTTCGGCTCAGACTAAGGAATAATTGGTAACTATTCTGTGATGGGTGTGTTCTAAAGGCCTGTGGGGCTATGAAGGAGCAACAGGTGGAGGCAGGCAGCCTTGGGGAAGGGAGCTTCACCTCTGCACAGTTCTCCAAAAAAAGGTTCAAGTACCAGTCTTCTGGTCTAGTTAAATTTTAAAGATGGGAAATTAAAAAGTCAACCTGAGATCTAGAGCAGTATTTTTTTCTTTTTTTTTTTTTTTGAGACGGAGTCTCGCTCTGTCGCCCAGGCTGGAGTGCAGTGGCCGGATCTCAGCTCACTGCAAGCTCCGCCTCTCGGGTTCACGCCATTCTCCTGCCTCAGCCTCCCTAGTAGCTGGGACTACAGGCGCCCGCCACCTGGCCCGGCTAGTTTTTTTGTATTTTTTAGTAGAGACGGGGTTTCACCGTATTAGCCAGGATAGTCTCGAGCTCTTGACCTCGTGATCCACCCGTCTCGGCCTCCCAAAGTGCTGGGATTACAGGCTTGAGCCACCGTGCCCGGCCTATTTTTTTTCAAGAATCCATAGTGACACAGAAACTCCCAAATTGACTTTTTTTTTTTTTTTTTGAGGCGGAGTCTCGCTCTGTAGGAGACTCCCGGGCTGGAGTGCAGTGGTGCGATCTCGGCTCACTGCAGCCTCCGCCTCCCGGGTTCAAGGGTTCAAGCGATCCGCCCGTCGCAGCCTCCCGAGTCGCCGGGATTACAGGTCCCAAATCGACTTATATACCTCCTGATGTACTCCCTTCTACACGATTCCAACTATATCGTATGTATTTTTTTTAAGAGTCAGGGGGCGGCCGGGCACAGTGGCTCACGCCTGTCATCCCAGCACTTTGGGAGGCCGAGGCGGGTAGATCACCTGAAGTCAGGAGTTCGAGACCAGCCTAGTGAAACCCCGTCTCTACAAAAAATACAAAAATTGGCCGGGTTTGGCGTCGTGCACCTGTAATCCCAGCTGCTAGGGAGGCTGAGGCAGGAGAATTGCTTGAATCCAGGAGGCGGAGGTTGCAGTGAGCCGAGATTGCGCCACTGCACTCCAGCCTGGGCGACAGAGCGAGACTCCGTCTCAAAAAAAAAAAAAAAAAAAAAAAAAGAGGTTTTGGGGATGTGGCTTGCTGTCACGGAAAAGGCTCTGGTAGGTACTGATCCGCGGTGTCACCCTGGGCAATTTACTTCCGTCCTCTGGGATTCAGTTTCCTAATCTTAGAGAGGCTGAGGCGGGAGAATGGCTTGAACTCGGGAGGCGGAGGCTCCAGCCTGGGCGACAGAGCGAGACTCCGCCTCAAAAAAAAAAAAAGGTGGGGAATAGTAATAACTACTCTTAGCAGATCTTCAAGGTCCCAAGTAATGGCCCGCGGGCTAGTCCGGGCCTGTGGCGGGCGAGCCTGGCCTAAGGTGTCCAGAGGAGCCCAGGCTGCGGGGTATCTCTGTCAACCCGAGTCCCAGACTAGTACCAGTGTCCTCGGTGGCCACGACAGCAGCAACGGCAGCCACCGCCGCAAACGCCCGCCCGGCCTGGCAAGGCCCCGGCCTCGCCTCACCTCAGCTCCCCGCCGCCGCGCCTCCAGCTCCAGCCTCCGCGAGCCTCCCCGGCCGCACCTCTGCGCACGCGCATCGCCCGCCCGCCCCGCCCAGGCTCGCGCTCCGGTCCCGCCCCTCTGGAATAGGCGTCGGACGCTTTTCCTCCCAGCGCGGCCACCGTCGTTCGGCCAGGGAGGGCGGGAGGGGGCGGGGAAAGGCTGGGAGGTGGGCAAGCGCGCGCGCCGCCCGTCTGTGGTGGTTTCCTGGCTGCGCGCGGCGGTGGCGGAGTAGCTACGGCTGTAGCAGCAGCCGCGAAGATGGCGGAAGGGCTGGAGCGTGTGCGGATCTCCGCGTCGGAGCTGCGCGGGCTCCTGGCTACTCTGGCCCCTCAGGCCGGGAGCAGAGGTGAGTCGCGCCGCCCAGCTCCTGGGCCGGGCCTGCCCGCCCCGCCTCCCTCTCCTCCTCCCCTGCCTCCTCCCCGCTCGGCCCGCGGCTCCGGAGCCCCCGCCCCTTCCCCCGGCAGTAGGCGCTGGGGCCGCGGCGGACCCTCGCTGCCTTGCCTCTCCGGCGGGTCAGTGCGGGGTCGGGCTCGGCCAGTCCCGGCCGGCTCCGGGAGAGCCTGGCCCGAATTCCTGCCTCCACCCTCTTTTTCGCCGCGAAGGTGACTATTCCCCTTTGCCCCAGCCCTCTGAGACCCGCCCGCGGATTCCCAGGCGTCGGGAGACACGGAAAGGAGTGGGGTCTGGTGGAGGCCCCGGGCGTATCGCTCTCCAGGCCGCCCTCCGCGGGCCTGCCCCGGCCACCGCGTTAGCGTCGGAGAGAAGGATTTGGGGAGAAAGGTTTAACAGCCTGCGACTTCCTTGCTGAACTTTCCCCCCCCCAAGACAGGCTTCCGAAAGCTGCGCCGTTGGAGGGATCCGGGACCTCTGACTACTCGGGTTTGGCCCTGGCATGTGTGGGAGCAGTTTTTATTAGACAGAATGCTCAGTTTGCAAGTTAATTTCGAGTCTCCAGCCACGTCAGGAAAGTAAGAAAGATTCTAAGTGTCTCACCTCCCCTGCGTTAGGCAATAGAGTTGTGTAGAATGCTAGCTGTGATAGGTGGCTTCTCTAGGTTTGCGGCCAGTCTGTGAAATTGGTTTTTGTTGATTAACAGAATTGGATGGTTAAGACTGTTTTCTCCCGCTGCTCTAGAAAGTAGTAGGAAGAGCTCTCCCCATCCGTCCTCCCCCCCCACCAAGTTACAGAATGCCGAGGGTAAGGTATTCTTGGGTTAAACTGCTTTATCTTTGTGGATGCTTCATGAACCTGCCTTTTAAACTTCTGAAAATAGTGAAGCACTTTCCTAAACCTGAGTCTCTTTTTTCAATAGTGAAGCACTATCCTAAACCTCAGTCTCTTTTTTTCCCGTTTTGTTACATCTACAAAAAGTAAATGTACGTGCTAGAGCATATGATTCCTGTGGGTTTGTTTGCATTTATGTTTAGAGAGCAATACTAGGATTAAAAACGTTTTTATTGTTGTTATTATTTTTCGAGACGGAGCCTCGCTTTGTCGCCCAGGCTGGAGTACAGTAGCGCGATTTCGGCTCCCTGCAACCTCCGCCTCCCGGGTTCACACCGCTCTCCTGACAGCCTCCGGAGTAGCTGGGACTACAGGTGCCCGCCACCATGCCCGGCTAATTTTTTGTATTTTTAGTAGAGACGGGGTTTCACCGTGTTAGCCAGGATGGTCTCGATCTCCTGACCTCGTGATCCACCCGCCTCCTGACCTCGTGATCCGCCTCTCTCGGCCTCCCAAAGTGCTGGGATTACAGGCATGAGTCGCTGCGCCCGGTCTATTGTTATTACTTTTTTGAGGTAGGATCTCACTCTTTTGTCCAGGCTGGAGTGCAGTGGAGGGATCTCAGCTCACTGTAGCCTCCACCTCCTGTGCTCAAGTGATCCTCCCACCTTAGCCTTCCCAGTAGCTGGAATTACAGACCTGCACCACAACCCCTGGCTATTTTTTGTATGTTTTATAGAGACAGGGTTTTGCCATGTTGCCCACGCTAATCTTGAACTCCTGGCCTCAAGCAGCCCTCCCGCCTCAGCCTTCCAAAGTGCTGGGATTATAGGCGTGAGCCACTGCACCTGGCCTATGCTTGGATTTTATATAGCATTCCATTTGTGTACTCGATAACATTCTCACGAATTCTGTCACTTTTCCGCTGAAATGTTTAGTGGTTACTTTTGACAATGGTAATAGATACTTTATTATTATTATTTTTTAAGACAGAGTCTCGCTCTGTCGCCCAGGTTGGAGTGCAGTGGCGCAATCTCGGCTCACTGCAAGCTCCGCCTCCCGGGTTCACGCCATTCTCCTGCCTCAGCCTCCCGAGGAGCTGGGACTACAGGCGCCCGCCACTGCGCCCGGCTAATTTTTTCTATTTTTAGTAGAGACGGGGTTTCACCATGGTCTCGATCTCCTAACCTTGTGATCCGCCCGCCTCGGCCTCCCAAAGTGCTGGGATTACAGGCGTGAGCCACCGCGCCCGGCCGGTAATAGATACTTTAAAAAAACATCCAGATACTTGCTTGTTATACTTGTTATCTTGTTATACTTGCTGTTCAGTAAGGTCATGGAGCTCAGAGAGTGGTTTCTTTTTTTTTTTTTTTTTTTTTGAGATGGAGTCTCTCGCTCTGTTGCCCAGCCTGCAGTGCAGTGGTGTGATCTGGGCTCACTGCAAGCTCCACCTCCCGGGCTCACGCCATACTCCTGCCTCAGCCTCCCAAGTAGCTGGGACTACAGGCACTCGCCACCATGCCCGGCTGATTTTTTGTGTTATTAGTAGAGATGGGGTTTCACCGTGTTGGCCAGGATGGTCTCGATCTGCTGACCTCATGATCTGCCCACCTCGGCCTCCCAAAGTGCTGGGAATACAGGCGTGAGCCACTGCTCCTGGCGGAGAGTGGTTTCTAAGGTCCTGTATTATTCTTAATTCTTGAGTTCCCAGTTCTTGGTATTTTGAGAGTATGTCACAATCTTTCCATCAGCATCCAGGGAAAGTTCCCTTATGGAACTTTTTTCTAATCATAATTCCATCATCACAGTAGCAGTTAGTGTCAGTATTCTAGTACAATAGTCTGAGCAGTAGTTTGGTAACTCTGCGAGCTACTCTCGGTGAGTTGGTGAGGATGGGTGAAGTTGAAGAATGTGGAAGGAACTGCTTACTGTTTAATTTACCAGCAGGTATGTTATTTGGTAATTGGTATCCTGAAGAAGAGAATTGTCCTGGTCAAGTTTAAAGTCGAGAGTCGCATTTTTTTTCTCCAGAGATATCCAGGACTGATGATTGTTATAATACCCCCCTTTTTCTCCTTTTTTGCTTTTTCCCCCTGCTGTTATGTTAGAAGAACTTAGCCACCCAGGAAAAAAGTTAAAGGCAGAAGAAAAAGCTGAGGTGGATTCACAGGCTCTATATGAGAAGGTTGTAGAGATCTTTTGTTCTGGCAATAATGAGGTAGTTTGGGGTCTTGGATTTCTGAATACGACTGGGGTAACACATAAGGAAATGAGTTTCCCCCATTTCCCTCACCGAAGTGTAGGTAGCACCAACACAATTAGGTCCTTAGTCTTGTGAATTGTTGAACAAGTGTTGTAAACCCAGAATTTCTACTTCTACAGAAATGTCCTTCCTTGCCTACCAATATTAGTATTTGGATGTGTAATTTTTGCTTGACTTTTTTTTGTTACTTAACCAGAATGACAGTCTTTCCCCCTCCTTCCTTCTTTATTCTTATCTTCTACCTTTCCCTCCCAAACTCTCTCCCCGACATAACAGAAAACATGAAGGAATTAAAGGAGACCAGGCCGCGCAAAGATAACAGGCGTCCAGATCTGGAAATCTATAAGCCTGGCCTTTCTCGGCTAAGGAATAAGCCCAAAATCAAGGAACCCTCTGGGAGTGAGGAATTCAAAGATGAAATCGTTAATGACCGAGATTCCTCTGCTGTTGAAAATGGTACTCAGCCCGTTAAAGATGTCTGTAAGGAACTGAACAACCAACAGCAGAATGGTCCTATAGACCCAGAAAATAATCGGGGACAAGAATCGTTTCCTAGGACTGCTGGACAAGAGGATCGTAGTCTAAAAATTATCAAAAGAACAAAGAAACCAGACCTGCAGATCTATCAGCCTGGACGACGTTTGCAGACTGTTAGCAAAGAATCAGCCAGTCGGGTGGAGGAGGAAGAAATCCTCAACCAGGTAGAGCAGCTGAGAGTAGAGGAAGATGAGTGTAGGGGAAATGCTGCGAAAGAGGAAGTTGTGAATAAACCAGACAGGGCTGAGACAGAAAAGAACCCAGGTGGTGACAGAGTAAGGGCTGCAAAGGGAGAAAAAGGAAAGAGGATTGAAAAAGGGGAGGGGATGAGGAAAACCAATGATGACCCAGCCCAGGGGAAGCCAGGTTCTGCAAAGCGCTACTCCCGGTCAGACAAACGAAGGAATCGCTACCGCACGTGCAGTACCAGCTCAGCTGGCAGCAACAACAGCGCTGAGGGAGCTGGCCTGACTGATAATGGATGTCGCCGCCGCCGACAGGATAGGACCAAGGAGAGGCCACGACTGAAGAAGCAAGTGTCTGTGTCCTCAACCGATTCCTTAGATGAGGACAGAATTGATGAGCCTGATGGATTCGGACCCAGGAGAAGTTCAGAAAGGAAGAAACATTTAGAAAGAAACTGGTCTGGCCGTGGGGAGGGTGAGCAGAAAAGCAATGGTAAAGAAAATCGAGGCACTCTTCGTGTCACTTTTGATGCGGAAGCCATGAACAAAGAGTCTCCCGTGGTGAAGTCAGCCAGGGATGATGTGGATAGAGGAAAGCCTGACAAAGGCTTCAGCAGTGGGGGCAAAGGCTCTGAGAAGCAGGAGTCCAAAAACCCGAAACAAGAACTTCGGGGTCGTGGTCGTGGCATTCTGATTCTGCCTGCCCACACCACCCTATCTGTCAGTTCAGCAGGCTCTCCAGAGTCCGCACCTTCGGGGCCTCGGCTTTTGTTTGGATCTGGTGGTAAGGGACCTCGGAGTTGGGGCCGTGGAGGCACCACACGCCGGTTGTGGGACCCCAACAATCCTGATCAGAAACCTGCTCTGAAGACTCAGGCGCCCCAGCTGCATTTCTTGGACACCGATGATGAAGTCAGTCCTACGTCTTGGGGTGACTCACGCCAGGCTCAAGCATCTTACTATAAGTTTCAAAACTCTGACAACCCCTATTATTACCCCCGGACACCAGGCCCTGCCTCCCAATATCCCTATACGGGCTATAACCCTCTGCAGTACCCAGTGGGCCCTACAAATGGTGTGTACCCAGGGCCTTACTACCCAGGCTACCCGACTCCATCAGGACAGTATGTATGTAGCCCTCTGCCTGCCAGCACCATGAGTCCTGAGGAGGTGGAGCAGCACATGAGGAACCTGCAGCAACAGGAGCTGCACAGGCTTCTCCGGGTGGCCGACAACCAGGAGCTGCAGCTCAGCAACCTGCTCTCCAGGGACCGCATCAGTCCGGAGGGCCTGGAGAAGATGGCGCAACTCAGGTATGGTGTGTTCTGTTCTGGCTGGAGGGAAATGGGGATCAGCTGGAGGTGTATAGATTCCTATGGCTGAGGAAGGTAGAAACTTTAGCTGAGCCGCTGGGTATTATCTCCTTTTCCCTTTGTAAGGGAAAGGACAGTTGGAAACAGAACAGAAGTTTTATTTTCTAGTCTTAGAAAAGATTATGCATCCTACTTTTTCTTTAAGAAAAAATTATCTTTAAGGGATCATGGAATCTTGAAATGTAAAAAGACTTTCTAGAATGCCAAGAAATGAACAGCATATAGCTTTGCAGTGAAGATCTTACTTCAGTTGTTAAATTTAGGTGAAGACATATGGGAAAGAACTATTTTCCTAGACACAAGTATCTTTAGAATGACGTTCTGCTCTGCAGAGTGGAAACCAGAGAGTAGTATGCCTACCTGGTCACAGTTTTGATTTCCTGCCAAGGGAGGTGGTTAATTTGCAGGAATCTCAAAACTTGGGTCTAGCTCTTTCTATGGTGTATTTGGAGCTGGAAGTTGCATGTATTTTATTCCAGAGCTGAACTGCTGCAGCTATATGAGCGCTGTATTCTATTAGATATTGAGTTCTCTGATAATCAGAATGTGGATCAGATCCTGTGGAAGAATGCTTTCTATCAGGTGATTGAGAAGTTCAGGCAACTTGTCAAGGATCCGAATGTTGAGAACCCAGAACAGATTCGGAACAGACTTTTGGAGCTCTTGGATGAGGTAAACTGTCATCTTTTTGTCCTCGGGGTAAAGGCTTCAGCATTCTGTAGTTATGATGGATTTTTACTACCTGAAATACCGTCTTTTAGAACAGAATATCGACAAAAAAACTATGCCCTTTTCTTGGGTTCTGAGCCTACACTACTCCAGTTGCTTCCTTGGGACCGTAAATTACTGACAATTGAAGTTTTGAGGTTGAAAGCTTTCTGAATGCCTCGGCCTAAAAGAGAGAGAATGAGAATGTGTATACATGTGTTTGTGTTTGTGTTTGTGTGGAGAGAGAGAGTGTGTGTGTGTTCATGTGTTCATATCTTTGAAGAAGGCTTAGACTGAATTTGTCCTGCGCTCAAATTGGTGGCCACTAAATATTGTGCATGTCTCCCTTTTCATAGGATGTCTGAACATTAGCAGAACTGTGAAAGGGTTGTCTGCCCCGGTTTTTGGTGGCTAGGTTGGATCAGAATAGGTTGATTCAGTAATTTCTTTTTTTCTTTTTGTAGGGCAGTGACTTCTTTGATAGTTTGCTTCAGAAGCTGCAGGTTACTTACAAGTTCAAACTGGAAGACTATATGGATGGTCTTGCCATTCGCAGCAAGCCATTACGCAAGACAGTAAGCTCCCTTCTTTATTTATCTTAAAATTTCCATTCATTTAGTAAGCATTTATCTAGCGTAATGTGCTAGACACTCTACTGGGTGTTGAGGGTAAAAGAATGAAAGGTATAGTTCAGTGCAGGGCAGATAGATTAAACCAACAGTTGTGGTGTCATGTGTACTATGGTAGTGGCATATAGCAGTGCTCCCCAGCCTGCCTTCTTTCTTTATTTTATTTTTTTCCCTTTTTTGAGATGGAATTTCATTCTTGTCACCCAGGCTGGAGCGCAGTGGTGTGATCTCGGCTCACTGCAACCTTCAACCTCTGCCTCTCAGGTTTAAGCAGTTCTCCTATGTCAGTCTCCCGAGTAGCTGGGATTACAGGTGCCCACCGCCAAGCCTGGCTAATTTTTGTATGTTTTGTAGGATGGGGTTTCATCATGTTGCCCAGGCTGGTCTTGAACTTTTGACCTTTGGTGATCCACCCACCTCAGCCTCCCAAAGTGCTGAGTTTGCAGGCATGAGCCACTGGGCCTGGCCAGTCTCTAGCCTTTTTGGCGCTAGGGACTGGTTTCGTGGAAGACAGTTTTTCCATGGATGGGGATGTGGGGGCATTAGATTCTCATAAAGAGCGCACAGCCTAAGTCCCTCACATGTTTAGTTCGCAATAGGGTTTGCGCACCTGTGAGACCTCATACCACCGCTGATCTGACAGGAGGTAGGGTTCAGGTGGTGTGGCTGGTAGTCCAGGGGAGTGGCTGTAAAGGAAGAGATTGGTTCAGGTTTGGATATGTTTAGGTGCTAGCCTGCCCACCGCTCAGACCAGAGACTGGTACCAGTCCACAGCCTGAGGGTTGGGGACCCCGGTATAGAGTGTTGAAGGGCCATAGAGAGAAGTGAATCTAACAGCCTGGTGGGGCCAAGGAAGTCGTCTTGGAGATTGTCAAGCTGAGTTTTGAAACATGACTAGGGGTTTGCAGATGGGAGGAGCAGTTTAGATAGAGCGTCCAGCAAAAGAGAAACAGGCATTGTTGGGAAAGTACAGGAAGTTCAGTGTGCTGGTGTTTGTAGTGTGGAGGGGCTGTTGCAGGTGGAAGAGCTAACGAAGGGGGAAGTGAAGTGACTAGGTCATAAGCTCTCATCTGCTGTGGCAAAGAGTTTGGACTTCATTCTGAAAGCTCTGGGGAACCATTAATGGCTTTTTTAGTAAATGGATAAGATAGGTGTGTTCTTAGAACCGGTCGCTTGGGCAGATGGGTGAGTTTGGGTGGGAGTTGGAGGAGAGTGGAGATAGCGGAGTCCGGTCGTAGGTCTGAACTCAGAGGTCGTGGAGATGCGAAAGAGAAGACAGATTGGAAAGAAAAGAAATAGAATGGAAGTGTTGCCTGATTTGGTATGAGGGATGGATGAGATTGCAGGTGTGGAGAGTGAATCATCTCCCAGCTGGTAGTCCAGGGGAGTGGCTGTAAAGGAAGAGATTGATTCAGGTTTGGATATGCTTAGGTGGAAGTGTGTGTGTTGCAGGAACTTGAACAAATGAATATTGTGGTCTCTCTGGAGGTCAGGAGAAAGCTGGGCTGGTGTTATAGATCATGAGTCATCATGATATAGGTGGTGGTTGAGGCGAAAGTTGGGGTACTGGGGAGACTGGCAAGAGATGGGGGTTACATTTCAAGGTGGGGGTAGGTAAAATTGTCAAGTGCAATGGAGCTGTCAAATGATAAGATTACTAAAAAGTGTCCATTGGGTTGGATGAACTTATCAAGAGTTAATTTGGTTGGGGAGACTGGAAGCCAGATTGTAGCGAAGAGAGATAAAGCAGTAGAGATTGCGAGAGAGTAATATAGACCATTCTTTTAAGCATCTTGGCTGTGAAGGCAAGGAGGGAAGACAGCTGAAAGAACATAGGGTTCTAAGAGAAGATTTTTTTCTTCTTTGTTTTTCGTTTTTTTTTTTTTTTTTCCTTCCGTACCATGCCTGGCCAGTTTTTGTTTTAAGATGGGAAACTTGAGCATATTTAGGAAGAGGTTAGAGATTCATTACAGAAAGCAGTGTGATTTATGGAGCAAAGGCTTCCTCTTGCCTTTTTGCTCCTTATGATAAATTACTACATACAAGCTTTCTTACTGATGGACAAATGTTTTTAGCTGGGCGCAGTGGCTCACTCCTTAATCCCAGCCCTTTGGGAGGCCAAGGCAGGCAGATCACCTGAGGTCAGGAGTTTGAGATGAGCCTGGCCCAACATGGCAAAACCCCATCTCTACTACAAAATCAAAAATTAGCCAGGTGTGGTGGTGCATGCCTGTAGTGCCAGCTACTCAGGAGGCTGAGACAGGGGAATCGCTTAAACCCAGGAGGCAGTGGTTGCAGTGAGCCAAGATTGCGTTATTGCACTCTAGCCTGGGCAACAAAGTGAGACTGTATCGCAAAAAAAAAAAAAAAAAAAAAGTGTTTATTGAGTTCCTCTTACATGCTTGGTGGCATTTTAGGCAGAGGCAATTCAGTGCAGATTGAAAAAAATTTAAAACGTGCTCTTGTTTCTTGGAGTTTAGTGTTTGATTGGGGGTGAGTGCAGACTGACTTTCGCCAAGGATGTTGGGGGTGTATACTGTAAAGGATTAACCTAGTTTTAAAGAATCCTGGGAGACTGAGAAAATCATAGTTAAACTAAAACTGAAGGCCGAAAACAGCAGCCAGGTGAAGGTGTAGGTGAAAATGCAAGGAGAGGAGCATTCTAGGGGAAGAGGACAATATACTTAAAGGCCCTGAAGTGGAAAACAGCATGGTGTGTCAGGGGAACTGAGGAGTCTGTCTGACTGAGGTACAGAGAGTGACCGGGAATGTGGTGCTGATGAGGTAAGCAGAGGCTCAATTGTCCAGGACTTCATGCTGAGGATGAAGAGCCTTTGAAAGAATTTTTTTTTTTTTCTGGAGACCGAGTCTTGCTCTGTCGCCCAGGCTGGAGTGCAGTGGCGTGATCTTGGCTTACTGCAAGCTCCGCCTCCTGGGTTCAGCCATTCTCCTGCCTCAGCCTCCCGAGTAGCTGGGACTATAGGCACCCGCCACCACGCCTGGCTAATTTTTTGTATTTTTAGTAGAGTCAGGGTTTCACCGTGTTAGCCAGGATGGTCTCGATCTCCTTACCTCGTGATCCGCCCGCCTTGGCCTCCCGAAGTGCTGAGATTACAGGCGTGAGCCACCGCACCTGGCCGAAATAATTTGTTTTGTTTTGTTTTTCTCTCTTACCAAGATGACAAAGTGGATGTAGTATGGAGGCATAATCAGTTCTCTTTGTGCTTTATCAGTTAAATACAGAGAATTCTTAACACCTTTGGTGATGTTCATTCATAGAATTTGTGGAATAGTTAGGACTTAGGGGGTGTGTGATATGTAGTGATATGTAACTTTGCTGAGGTACAAATTTGAGTTACATGCTAGGTAGAAGGTTAACGTGCAGTAGCTAGTTTGCTTAGTGCGTGTGCCTTCCTGAGGGGTCAGTATCTCCTCCTCAATGGAGCTTTGCTCTTTGTTCAGTGGTATGTTAATTTCTTCCGTGTGCAGTGGGGTGGATTATGTTGTGTGCTGTGAAGTGGTGTTCCTGGGGGAGATATTTTGGTGGGCACATGTCTTGGGATTGGTTTACTCTGTTTTCTGAGTGACAGATGCCAAGCCTATCAGTAAGAAAACATGTAGTACTGCACAGTGTGGCACGTTGTTAATATTTGATAAAACGATTCATTGTTTTAGGCGAAGGTAACATAATGCTGTGGTACAATTCTGTGATATTAACAGTTTGAAGAAAGACTGTAATGATGGCAAAAAAAGAATAGGGTGGCTGGGCGTGATGGCTCGTGCCTGTAATCCCAGCACTTTGGGAGGCTGAGGCAGGCAGATCACTTGAGGCCAGGAGTTTGAGACCAGCCTGGGCAACATGATGAAACCCTGTCTGTATTAAAAATACAAAAATTAGCTGGGCATGGTGGTGCATGCCTGTCATCCCAGTACTCAGGAGGCTGAGGCACAAGAATCACTTGGGCTCAGGAGGTGGAGGTTGCAGTGAGCCGAGATCACGCCACTATACTCCAGCCTGGGCAACAGAGTGAGACTCTGTCTCAGAAATTATTAGGGAGAGAAAAAAGAACAGAGTAAACAATTGTCTTCATATTTGTATGTCTCTTTATAGTTTATAAAATATTTTTACATTTATTTTCTCCAGCTACCCTATAGAGTAGTTATTTCTACATTCAGATGAAGAAACTGAGTCCCAGAGCATCTCAAAGACTTCCTTGAGATCAAACACTATTCCATAGAGTCAGGTCTCCTGACTACTAATATCGAAATGTTTTCTTTCATTTGCCTGGGACTCAAGAATCTCCCTTTCTCTTTCTCAGTAAATTTTGTGTCACACTGTTGACTGTCTTTTTGGTAGTCAGGTTTAGACTGAAAACTTTATACTTTGTGGAGGACTGCTAGTGCCTTACCAGTGCTACATTGTCATTTTCACCCCATCCCTGTCCTTTGAGGGTTGAAGTTAGTGTTTCTTGGCTTTTCTACTAACTGATTGTTTTTCCTGAAGGTAAAGTATGCCTTGATCAGTGCCCAGCGATGTATGATATGCCAAGGAGATATTGCTAGGTACCGGGAGCAAGCCAATGATACCGCAAACTATGGGAAAGCACGCAGGTACTTTTACCTCCACTTCATTATTTCTCTTCCCTATGTGGCTCTAAGCTAAGCCTTACTAAGAGCACTAGGCCACTCGAGCTGCCTCCCATATGGGTGTTCTACAGGTGTCTCTATTGGTCCCTGTAGTCATGCCTTACCTCTCCAGGGTTACATCTAACACTGTACCTTATATCTTAAGTATTAGGGCTATCAGGATGAATTAGGAAAAAGCTAATCCGGAACTAGCATTTTCTTACTGTTTTTCTGTTCTAGTTGGTACCTGAAGGCCCAGCACATTGCTCCCAAGAATGGACGCCCCTATAACCAGTTGGCTTTGCTGGCAGTGTATACGGTAAGAAATCCTGTGGACAGGGGAAGTGCTTTGCAGGAGGTATCTTACAATATGGAGTTTGATAATATCAGTTCCTGGCACTTCATTTCATCTCATCACTGTAGCCCAAAGAATATCCCCTCAAACTCCTTTCATTACAGTTACTCTCAGAATTAAGTTGTCAGGGATTCCTTACTTCACTTAACTCTGTGCTTTATCTATCCACTTAACCACTGCACTTAAATTCCTAAGGGAATGCTTATGCTCCAGCTAAACACCATTGTTTGTTTCTGACCAGAGCTTCTGCTCTGAATTTTGTCTTGATTCTCTTCCCTTTCTGTTGAACTAGACAACTCATTCTGTAAGAAAAATAAGGCTTACTTCTCTCCCTTAAAGTTTGCACCTAGCTCTAAGTAGTCAGATCTTTACTTCCTTTCCCCAGATCCTGTTACTACTTTTAACTTTTTATCTAAGGTGCCTCCATAGCAGAAGCACAGTGAGCACCAGATTGTACTTCTCTAGGTCTAATCATTGTGCTCTCAATATGTCTCTAATGGCGAAGCAGGCCTTGGGAGCTGAGAGGGCTCCTAGGGAGAAAGCTGAATTCAAGGGGAAAAGTGGGGACCAGTGGTAGGTACCAGAGGTTCGATCATAAAAAGCAGATAAGATGCTCGTTTAGCAAGGAGAAAATTTTCTTTTCTTTTCTTTTTTTTTTTTTTTTTTTTTTAGAGAGGCAGGGTTTTGCTCTGTCACCCAGGCTGGAGTGCAGGTGATCCTCCTGCCTCCGCCTCCCGAGTAACTGGGACTACAGGCACACTCTACTGCACCCAGATAACAAAAAACATTTTTCTGTAGAGACGGGTTATTGCTTTGTCTCTACAGGCTGGCCTTGAACGCCTGGGCCCAAGTGATCGTCCAGCCTCAGCCTCCCAAGAAAATTCTTAATAATTATGGGTTGAAATAGTTGATTAAGTAATGTGGTTTACTGAAACACTTCTTTCAGAATTTGTTGAATCTCTCTTTTCTGTTTTTACCTCTGTCTTATTCTCTGTGATGGGATTATGGGATTTTTTTCCTGCCCCTCTTTGCAGCGTTATTTTTTCTTCCCCTTTTCTCTATATCCATCTTTTCCTCATTCATTCATTGTAATCATTGAATGAAATGTTAATTAGAAAATACAATTAACCATCACCTTTATCTAGTGTCAGAACATTTTCATCACCCGAAAGGAGACCTCATGCCTATGCTTTCCATCCCTCCTTCCCCTCAGCCCCTGACAACCACTCGTCTGATTTCTGTCTCTGTATCTGTACCTATTCTGGATGTCTCATGTAAATGGGATCATATAATGTATGACTTTTTGCAGTTCTCTAATGATACACGATGTTGAGCATCTTTTCATATGCTTCCCATCTACATATCTTATTCAGTGAGGTGTTCAGATCTTTTGCCCCACCCCCACTTTTTTGCCCATTTTTACAGTTGAATTTTTCCCCTTGTTTAAGAGTTCTTTGTATATTTTAGTTACAAGTCCTTTATCAGGTGTGTGTTTTGTGTCTGTTTTCTTCTATACAGTGGCTTGTCTTCGCATTCTTCATCAGTGTCTTTTGCAGAGCAGAAGTTTTAAATTTTAATGAAATCCATCTTACCAGTTATTTCTTTCATGGGTTATGCTTCTGGTGTTTTATTTAAGAAGTTGTCTTCAAACCCATGGCTAACTTAATGTTGTGTTACTTTCTAGAAGTTGTATAGTTTTATGTTTTACGTTTAGGTCTGTAATACATTTTGAGTTAATTTTTGTGAAGTGTAAGGCTCGTGTATAGATGTATTGATGTGGGTGGATATACAGTTGTTCTAGCACCATTTGTTGAAATGACTATCCTTAAGGCCGGGCGCGGTGGCTCAAGCCTGTAATCCCAGTACTTTGGGAGGCTGAGACGGGCGGATCACGAGGTCAGGAGATCAAGACCATCCTGGCTAACATGGTGAAACCCCGTCTCTACTAAAAAATACAAAAAATCTAGCTGGGCAAGGTGGCGAGCGCCTGTAGTCCCAGCTACTAGGGAGGCTGAGGCAGGAGAATGGTGTAAACTCGGGAGGCGGAGCTTGCAGTGAGCTGAGATCCGTCCACTGCACTCCAGCCTGGGTGACAGAGCGAGACTCCGTCTCAAAAAAAAAAAAAAAAAAAGAAATGACTATCCTTTCACCTTTGAATTGCGTTTGCTCCTTTGTCAAAGACCAGCTGACTATATTTGCATGAGTTTATTTCTGGCCTCTCTGTTCCCATTGATCTATTTGTCTGTTCTTTGCTTGGTACCACACTGTCTTGGTTCCTATAACTATTTTTGTTTTGAAGTGCAGTAGTGTCAGTCTTCCACCTTTGTTTTTCAGTATTGTATTGGCTATTCTGGATCTTTTGCCTTCCCATGTAAACTTGAGAATCAGTTTGTTGATATCCACAAACCTAGTGCGTATTAAGTGATAACTCATTGTGGTTTCTTGTTGGATTCTCCTAGCAACTAATGATGTGTATCTTTTCATGTGCTGATTTGCTGTTGGGAGACATATCTGTTCACTTTCATTGCTCATTGAGAAAAATTTTAATTATATATGTATATATGTAAGTAATAATAATACTAATTATTATTTTTTTGAGATGAAGCCTCGCTCTGTTGTCCAGGCTGGAGTGCAGTGCTGTAGTTATCTCGACTTACTGTAACCTCCGCCTCCTGGGTTCAAGCTATTCTCCTGCCTCAGCCTCCAGGGTAGCTGGGATTACGGGTGCATACCACCACCCCCTGCTATTTTTTTTTGTATTTTTAGTAGAGATGAGGTTTCACCATGTTGGTCAGGCTAGTCTTGAACTGCTGACCTCAAGTGATCCACCTACCTCAGCCTCACACTGAAATTATATGCATGAGCCATCACACCTGGCAATTTTAATATTTTAATTGTAAAATACTCATAAAATTTATCCTCTTACCCATATATACATGTGTGTATATATATTTAAGAGATAGGATCGCACTCTGTCACCTAGGCTGTAGTGCAGTGACACAGTCATGGCTCACTGCAGTCTCGACCTCCTGGGTTCAGGTGATCCTCCTGCCTTAGCTTCCTGATTAGCTGAGACTACAGGCACACACCACCATATCCAGGTAATATTTTGATGTTTTGTATAGGCAGGATCTCATTCCGTTGCCCAGGCAAGTCTTGGAACTCCTGGCCTCAAGTGATCCTCTTGCCTTGGCCTCCCAAACTGCTGAGATTACAGGCATGAGCCATTGCTCCCAGTCACTTACTTTTTTTTTTTTTTTGAGACAGGGTCTCACTTTGTCACCCAGGCTGGAATATGGTGGCATGACCTCAGCTCACTGTAGCCTCAACCTCCCAGGTTCAAGCTATTCTCCTGCCTCAGCCCCTCAAGTAGCTGCAACTACAGGTGCCCGCCACCACACCTGGCTAATTTTTACATTTTTTGTAGAGATGGGGTTTCACCATGTTATCCAAGCTGGTCTCGAACTCCTGAGCTGCTCAGTGATCTGCCCAGCTCAGCCTCTCAGAGTGCTAGGATACAGGTGTGAGCCACCAGCCCTGCCTATCTTACCCACTTTTTTTTTTTTTTTTTTTTTGGAGAGAGGGTCTCTGTCACCCAGGCTGGAGTGCAGTCACCTGATCTTGGCTCACTGCAACCACCCACTCCCAGGCTCAAGCGATCTTCCCACCCCAGCCTCCCGACCACAGGCACATGCCACCCCACTTGGCTAAATTTTTTCTGTTTATGGTAGAGATGGGGTTTCACTATGTTGATCAGGCTGGTCTTGAACTCCAGACCTCAGGTGATCCACCCACCTTGGCCTCCAAAAGTGCTGGCATTACAGGCGTGAGACACCGTGCCCGGCCTGTCTTACCCATTTTTAAGTGTAGCTTCGGTAGCATTAAGTACATTCATGTTGTAGTGCAACCAGTCTCCAGAATGCTCTTCATTTTACAAAACTGAAGCTGCGTATCTGTTAAATAACATCTCCCCCTTCTCTCTTCCCACAACCTCTGCAACTACCCTTCTGCTTTCTGTTACTGTGAATTTGGCTACTCTGGGTACCTCATGTAGGTGGAATTATGCAGCGTTTGTTCTTTTGTGACTGGGTTATTCCACTTAGCTTAGGTCCTCACGGTTCATCCATGTCGTAGCGTGTGTCAGAATTCCCTTCTTTTGGAGGGTGAAGTATATTTCATTGTGTGTGTTTACCACATTTTATATGTGCATTCGCCCATTGGTGGACATTTGTATTGCTCCCATCTGTTGGCTATTGTGAATAATGCCACAGTGAACATGGGTGTTCAAATAAAATCTCTTCAAGACCCTGCTTCCAATTCTTGTGGGTATGTACCCAGAAAACGAATTACTAGATCATTTGGTAATTCTCATTTTAGTTTTTTAGAACAACCATATTGTTTTCCATAGCAGCTACACCATTTTATATTCCAACCTACAGCACGCAAGGCTTCCGATTTCTCCACTTTCTTGCCAACACTTGTTATTTTCTGCTTTTCTGATAGTAGCCATTGTAATGGTGGTGAGGTGATATCACATTATGGTTTTAATTTGTTTCCCTAATGATTAGCATTTTTTCATATGCACATTGGTCATTTGCGTATCATATTTCCAATCCTTTGTCCATTTAAAAATTGTTATTTTTTTGTGTTGTCAAGATGTATGAGTTCTTTATATATTCTGGATGCTAGACCTTTATTAGATATATAATTTGCAAACATTTTCTTCCATTTTGTGGATTGTCTTTTCATTCTCTTGAGAATATCCTTTGATGCACAAGTGTTTTTTAATTTTGTTGAAGTCCAGTTTATCTTTTTTCTTTTGTTCCTTGCACTTTCGATGTCATAGCTATGAAACCATTACCAAATCCAAGGTTTAGAAAATTTACCTCTTTATTTTCTTGTAAGAGTTTTAGACTTTTACCTCTTATATTTAGGTCTTTGATTAATTTTAGGTTAATTTTTATATATAGTATGAGGTAAAGGTCCAACTTCATTCTTTTACATGTGGTTATTACATTCTATCAGCACCATTTGTTGAAGAGACTGTTCTTTCTTCATTGAATAGTCTTGGTTCCCTTGTCAAAAGTCACTTTATATGTGGGTTTGTTTCTGAACTCTTAGTTTTCTTCCATTTTTTTATATGTCAGTCCTCATGCGAGTACTACAGCTGTTTTAGTTACTGTAGGTTTGTGGTAAGAAAAATTGGGAAATGTGAGTCCCCTAACTTTGTTTTTTGTTTGTTTATTTATTTATTTTTTCCAAGACTGTTTTGGCCATTTGAGGTCCCTTGTAATTGCATCTGGATTTTAGGATCAGCTTTTTCATTTTTGCAGAATCATTGGAATTTTGATAAGGATTGCATTGAATCTGTAGATTGCTTTGGGAAGTATTGCCATCTTCAAAATATTAAGCCTTCTAATTCATGAACACAGGGTGTCTTTTTATTTACTTCCTTCTTTAATTTCTTTTAACCCTGTGTATAATAAGTTTTGCACTTCCTTGGTTAAATATATTCCTAAGTATGTCATTCTTTTTGATGCTTTTGTAAAAAGAATTGTTTTCTTTTTTTCTCTCTTTCTTTGTTTTTTTTTAGACGGGGTCTCGGCCAGGTGGGTTGGCTCACATCTGTAATCCTAGCACTTTGGGAGGCTGAGGCGGGCAGATCACTTGAGGTCAGGAGCTCGAGACCAGCCTGGCCAACTTGGTGAAACCCCATCTTTACTAAAAATATAAAAATTAGCCAGTTGTGGCGGCACACAGCTGTAGTCCCAGCTACTCGGGAGGCTGAGGTGGGAGAATTGCTCAAACCTGGGAGTTGGAGGTTGCAGTGAGCTGAAAGCGTGCCATTGCGCTCCAGCCTAGACCACAGAGCGAGGCTTCGTCTCAAAAAAGAAAAAAAAAAAGAATGTCTCTCTATGTTGCCAAGGCTTGTCTTGAACTCCTGGCTTCAAGTGAGCCTCCTCCCTCTGCCTCCCAAAGTGCTGGGACTATAGGCCTGACCCATTTTGCCCAGACAGAAATTGTTTTCTTAATTTCCTTTTTTCAGATTGCTCATTACTAGTATATAGAAATGTAACTGAATTTTGTGTGTTGATCTAGTATGCTGCAACTGTGCTCAATTCCCTCAATGGCTTTTTGTCATTTGGATTAAATTTTCTTTTTCACAGACCTCTGACCTAGATTAGCACTTCCTTCAAGTTCTTTTCCTCTATCCTTCTTTTTTCTGTCTGTCTCCTCTTCGTTGTCTGTTAGCAACATTTTCCCTACTTTTCTGCTACTTCCAGTCAGTCAGTCATTCTTTCTCTTCTAATCAGTGAATCTCAGGTATTTATTAAGAACACAGCACATGTACAGTGCTTTGCTAGATGCCAGGAATGATAAAATATTGACTTGCTTTCTTCCCTGAAAAAAAAAATGTGTTGAGAAAACAAGTGAGATGTATAGACAGTGATACAAATTAGACTTGATAACTGTGTAATTGATTGTTAGATGCACCATTATCTTCTGTCCACTGAGAAGAATGCTGCAAATTACAATAAGACACAACAATAGATACCGATTGTAAGTTGTATCTCTGTTTTGGAAATTTTTTAATATGAAAAAATATTTTGATAAAATACAGTCTCGAATCAAGTGAGTAGGGTAGGTAGAAATTAGTATGGATTGTAATAATAATAAAAACAGCTACCACTTAACTGTAATAGTGTGCCAAATATTCTGTTAAACTATATGCATTATATAAGTTTAATCTTTTTGGGAGACATATGTTGTAAACATCTCCATTTTGCAAGTAAGGAAACTTCTCTAGGTTAACGTGCTTAGTGTCATACCTAACAAATGCAAGACCAATTTCAGACTCAGGCATTTGACCTTAGAACCTGTGCCTTTAGCCATGCCAGATGAATACAAGATAGGAGTTTTGAAGGATGAGTAGACGCTGGGGAGAGAGAGAAGCTAGTATTTTAAATGTATTTTGAAACAGTTATGGAAAACAGTGAAAATGTACATGAAGTTGGAGAAAAAGTGAGAAAGCCTTTTGGATATTCTTTCTACCTTTGTTTCAATGTTTTCCTTTTTCCTTCTTTCTGACCCACTTCCTTTTTCTTCTTCTTTTCCCTATTAATTGCTTATAAATAGACTTGCTGAATTTATTGAATAATATCTATAAAATGTTCAACTACTAATTATTTATTTTAAAAAATTATCAATAACAATGACAACATCATTGATTAAGTACGGTTAAGTGTGAGACAGTGGCCAGCTCTTCGTAAGCCTGAGGATACTCCTCCATTGGGTATTATTACTCCCACTGTAGTGTTGAGGATATGGGAGCTCAGGAAGATTATTACATAATAATGTAATAACCTTGGAGACTTTTGTCCGAAGTCTCCAAGTCAAGTCCTGGATTAGCCAGTATTTGGACCAAGGTCTGTCTGGCTTGTAATTTCGTGATTTCATTATACCATACTGACTGTCTGATAAGAATAGGAAATATAAAGTGAGTTGAACATCATGCTTTCTCTAAGAACAAGTTGTAATTTCTGTTTGTATTTTTTTTTTTTTTTTTTTTGAGAGGGAGTCTGGCTCTGTTGCCCAGGCTGGAGTGCTGTGGCTGGATCTCAGCTCACTGCAAGCTCCGCCTCCCGGGTTTAAGCCATTCTCCTGCCTCAGCCTCTCGAGTAGCTGGGACTACAGGCTAGTTTTTTGTATTGGGACTACAGGCTAGTTTTTTGTATTTTTTAGTAGAGACGGGGTTTCACCGTGTTAGCCAGGATGGTCTCGATCTCCTGACCTCGTGATCCGCCCGCCTCGGCCTCCCTAAGTGCTGGGATTACAGGCTTGAGCCGCCGCGCCCAGCCTTCTGTTTGTATTTTAAGAGGCTGTTCATTCCTTTCTCCCCTTATGAGTTCTTGGTTCTTGGAGCACCTCTGCATGTAAGATATAATAGTGTGTGAGAAGAGATCTGTGATGCAGTTGCGATGGCTTCTCCTGTGGATAGCATTTCTGGTTTTGTTGTTGGAATTCCTCTCAGTTTGGGAGACAGGCTGGGAGAGAGAGTAGGATTTCCTGAGTCAGCTGCCTCTTGCTGGAGTTAGGAAGAGAATTGGTTGACTGAATATCTCTGGCCTCTTTCCACAGAGGAGGAAGCTTGACGCTGTCTATTACTATATGCGCAGTTTAGCTGCCAGCAATCCTATCCTGACTGCCAAGGAGAGTCTCATGAGCTTGTTTGAAGAGACCAAGCGGAAGGTGAGTGGGGATGTGGCAGAGCCCGTCCTTCCTCGGATAATGCATTTCCCTGAGTGTCGGTGTGTCCTGGCTCTGCGCAGTGGCAGGATCGTAGCTGGTGAGGTTTATCTGAGGTGCGATTATTGCTGAGTGTCTGTGTGTCCTCAGGGAATGACTCATAGCGTCCTTAAGTGGTCCCGTCAGACTGTGCTGAGGGATGATCGGTCAGCCCCTGTGCAGGACAAAACTGTGATCTTCAGGAGAGCTGTCAGGGGCCCTTGGATGTACATGTACATGCTCTACAGAATTGAGAACTTTTATGAGACAAAGCAGATGACACTGCTACTTTGGGACTGTGGTACAGTCTTTTTATTGTCAAATAAATACCGGTGAGGTGAGGCTTTTCTCTGAAAGCTGAATCTCAGGCGAATCTGAGCTCGTGTGTGTTTTTTGTTTTTGAGACAGAGTTTCGCTCTTGTTGCCCAGGCTGGAGTACAATGATGCGATCTCCGCCCACTGCAACCTCCACCTCCCAGGTTTAAGTGATTCTCATGCCTCAACCTCCCAAGTAGCTGGGATTACAAGTGTGCGCCACCACACCCAGCTAATTTTGTATTTTTAATAGAGATGGGGTTTCACTATTTTGGTCAGTCTGGTCTCAAACTCCTGACCTCGAGTGATCCATCTGCCTTGGTGTCTCTTAAGTGCTGGGATTACAGGTGTGAGTCACCACACCCGGCCATGAGCTTATGTGTTTGTCTGTTATGTAGGCAGAACAGATGGAAAAGAAGCAACATGAAGAATTGGAACTGAGCCCTGACCAATGGCGGAAAGGAAAGAAGTCTACTTTCCGGCATGTTGGAGATGACACCACTCGCCTGGAGATCTGGATTCATCCATCCCATCCACGGTCTTCCCAGGGCACTGAGTCTGGGAAGGATTCTGAGCAAGAGAATGGGCTGGGCAGCCTGAGTCCCAGTGATGTAAGTTCCTGAAAGTGATACAATGAGCCCAACTAGCTCAGTAGGCCTGGGTGCCCTGGTTCATACAGCTGTGAGGCACAGATACTTCCCACTAATTGCAAGGAAGACAAACCACTTGAGGCTCCCTGATGGTCTTTTCTCTTCTCATGGATGCTTAGTCTTTATTATGTACTTCCCCCTCTGACCACTATGTGTCACTGCAGAATTTAGTAAAAGTAGGATTCGAATTTTGTTTGTTTGTTTTGTTTTTGTTTTTTTGGCTGCTTTTTGTTCAGTGTCATCAACATGATGCTTTTTTAGGATTCTATGTGGGATTTTGTACTTATTTTTTCCTCTTGGTTGACCTTATATTCTGAGACTGAACTAAAGTAGCATGGATAGGTTGGTTAGTCTGATTTGTGATCAGCCTTCTATGGGATATCCTCTTCTTTTTTTTTTTTTTTTTTTGAGACGGAGTCTCGCACTGTCGCCCAGGCTGGAGTGCAGTGGCGCGATCTCTGCTCACTACAAGCTCCGCCTCCCAGGTTCACGCCATTCTCCTGCCTCAGCCTCCTGAGTAGCTGGGACTACAGGCACCAGCCACTGCGCCCGGCTAATTTTTTGTATTTTTAGTAGAGACGGGGTTTCACAGTGGTCTCGATCTCCTGACCTTGTGATCTGCCCGCCTCGGCCTCCCAAAGTGCTGGGTTTACAGGCGTGAGCCACCGCGCCCGGCTGGGATATCCTCTTATAACTCTTGGGCGGAGACTTTTTCCTTCAAACTGGGAGAAATGACAGTAGAAAATCACAGGCTTGTTTAGAAGATTTCTCCTCTTCATTGACTTAGGAAGTAATTATCGACAGTGTGCCCGTCACTAAAGATACAGTGGACAAGATCTCTTGCTGTCTCAGTGCATTCTAGTGGAGGATGCAAGAGACTGAATAGGCAGTTATAGTGTAATTAATTTTGTTTTGGGGTACACACCCAGTATGTGAGAGCACATAGCCATGGGACCAAAGCAGCCATTGGTCAATTGAAGTATAAAGAACAAGTAGGAGTTAGCTCAAGAAGGAAAAGGGAGGTGATAGTGATTCCCAGGCAAAGGAAATAGCATATGCAAAGGGCTGAGGCTGGGAGGGGGAGAGAGAGCACAGTAGGTGGAAAGTTGCAGTGGCTGGTTCGTTGTGCCCTAAGGGTAAAATTCACCTAGTGGGTGGTATAAGCTGGGGCTAGATGTTGAAGGGTCATACGATAAATTATTTGACTTTATCCTGAAAATAGTTGGGAGCTATTGGATGCTTTAAATAGGGGAATAACGTCTGCCCTTCAGAAATACAACCCTGGCCGCTTTGTAAAATGTTTGGAGAAGAGTAAGACTACAAATAGGAGACAAGGAGGGTGCTACAGTAGTTCCAAGTGAGATATGAAAAAGACTTGAACCAAGAAATGGCTTTGGAGGTGGGAAGAAGTGAACAGACACAAGCCATATTATTACAGTAGAATCCAAAAGACTTGGTTGAACGTGGGGAGCTCAGGGAGAAGAAAGAGTCAAGGTCCAGTGTGGTGGCTGCCATCTGTAATCCCAGCACTTTGGGAGGCCAAGGCAGGAGGATCGTTGGAGCCCAGGAATTCAGTACCAGCCTGGGCAACAAAACGAGGCTTCTGTCTCTACAAAAAAATTTTCAAAATTAGCTGGGCATGGTGATGCGGGCCTCTGCTCCTAGCTACTCAAGAGTCTGAGGCAGGAGGATTGCTTGAGTCCAGGAGTTCAAGGCTGTTGAGAGCTATGATCCAGCCTAGGTGCCAGAGCAAGACCCCGTCTCAAAAAAAAAAAAAAAAGGTCAAGAATGAGCCCAAGAGCGTCAAGGCTGCACCACTGCACCCCAGCCTGAGTGATGTGTGAGACCCTGCCTTCCAAAAAGTGAATGAATACAGTCACAAACAGGGTCAGTCTCTGTTGCTCAGGCCCGAGTGCAGTGATGCGATCTGACTCCTGAGTTCCAGTGATCTTCTTGCCTCAGCCTCCTGAGTTGCTAGGACTATAGGCATGTACCACCACACCCAGCTCATTTTTTGTAGAGATGGAGACTTGCCCTGTTGCCCAGGCTGGTCTCAAACTCCTGGCCTCAAGCAGTCCTCCTGTGGCCCCCCAAAGATCTGGGATTACAGGCATGAGGTATCATGTCTGTCCCATTTTATTTCTAAATATACAAATAATATATGAATATAGTTTTGGTAAAAACTTGTAGATAGAATATAATTTAATTTGTTTTCTAAACTTGATGAAGCTATTTATATATTTTCAGCTTGTACATCATCCTTGGGTAATTATATTTCCCTTAATTTTCTTTAAATTTAAATCTTTGAGTTTGGGCTTTTCGTTTTAGGCTACCAGCCCTTGAAGAAATCTGCAGTTTCTGGCCTGGCGCGATGGCTCACGCCTATAATCCCAGCACTTTAGGAGACCGAGGCATGCGGATCACTTGAGGTCAGGGGTTCGAGACCAGCCTGGCCAACATGGTGAAACCCTGTCTCTATAAAAAAGTGAGCTGGGCGTAGCGGCGCACTCCTGTAATCCCAGCTATTCGGGAGGCTGAGGCAGGAGAGTTGCTTGAACCCAGGAGGCGGAGGTTGCAGTGAGCCAAGATTGTTCCACTGCGCTCCAGCCTGGACAAAGAAGCGAGACTTTGTCTCAAAAAAAAAAAAAAAAAAAGAAAAGAAATCTGCAGTTTCATAACTTTTCATTTATCTAGCCAGGAAACCACACTGCCATTTTCACCTGCTTTCTCAGGCCCAAGTTGGCTTCCAATATTTTTTTTTCCCTCACAGTAGGTCCCAAGAGCTCAGCTTGCTTTCTCTGTTCCTTGGAACACACACATTGATAAGAAGTAAGCATTGAGGTTACAAAAATTAAAATAACCAAAAATGATTTGTAATCTCAAAGAGCACTCGTTCACGTGAGGAAGACATAGATGTGTCGTTATAGTTCCGTGTGGTCAGTACTGTGATAAAGGCAAGCATGAGAGGCTGTGGGAGCATGCAGTTGGAACACCTAATCCAGTCATGGTTAGGGAAGGCTGGGGCGAGGCCGCATTTTGCAGCTTAAAGATGACATAAGGGCATTTCTACATGGAGGCATGAAAACGTGGATGAGGTATGGAGGCTTTGGGAACTGTGAATAGTTCAGTATGGCTGGAATCTAGAGTGTGAGAAGTTCTCCTGTGAGCGACTTGAGTCATGCTTGACATGTTCCTTTCCTCTGTTCCACATCCAGTCAGTACCACCTGGTTATTAGGAGGTGGATACTGTTGAATCCACTTCCTAATCGTAACTTGAAGCCATCCACTTCTCTCCTTTCTCATTGCTGCCGTAGTAGTTCAAGCTATCACCATTTCAGTAATCCATATACTATTGAAAGAAGTCCCTAATGGTCTTTTCAGATTTATTCCTGGTCCTTTTCTGGCCTTTCTTTTTAGACAGTAACCCAAATGAATGAACTTCCAAATACCCATTTCTGATCATGCCCCTCCCTTCTTGAAAGTGTTTAGTTATTTCTGTTGCTCTTATAATCAGGTCTACAATCCTCGACATAGTACACTGGGCCCCTCATGATCTGGCTCCTGCTAGTATAAGATGTCTTATACTTTTCATACTTTTTTTCCTTCCTTTGTTAACTGTGTTCCAGCCACGCTGGCTTCTTCCTTGAAGGATTCAAGCCCTTTTCTGGCTCCTGGCTGTCGTACATCTCTCTGCCAGCAATGCACTTACCTCTCACTGGTATTTCTGCCTTTATCAGTCACTTTCTTTCTTACCCTTCAGGTCTCAGCCTAAATGTCATGTTTCCAAGGAAGCGTTTCCTGATCCCTGAGACTGGCCATTTCGCCTTTGTAATACCACATTTCTGGTGTAAGTGCTTTTAAGTGTAGTTTTGTGAAGATCTTTACCTTGCTAGATTGAAGGCTCTATGAGAGTAGAGTCACATCTGGTGTGTTCACTTCTTTGTACCCAGTGTCTGCATATGGAAGATTCTAGTTGATACACATATGAGGGGAAGAGCAGCAAGGGATGAGGCTAGAGAAGGTAGCAGGGGCCAGGTCCTTCATAAATATTTTGAGGTTTGGCTGTCAGGTATTGAGGGTTTTTAATATTTTTGGAGTTGTGTTGGTCATGTTTAAAAATCGATATATAATAATTGTACATATTTATGGGCTACATGTGATATTTTTATACGTGCATAGAATGTGTAATGATTAAGTCAGGGTATGCAGAATATCCATCACGTCAAACATTAGTCATTTAGGTACTAAGGATTTTAAGCAGAGGGATGATATAATTGGATTTCTATAATGATCACTCTTTCCAATACTTCTAGTACTGGAACAAATTTATTTTGTTTTAAAAGGAACTTTCAGGTTGCATAACTAGTAACAATTCATTGTCTCTAAATTAAACAGAAATGTATGTATAGTTTAGGCTGGGTGCGGTGGCTTGTGCCTGTAATGCCAGCACTTTGGGAGGCTGAGGTGGGCCAATCACCTGAGGTCAGGAGTTCGAGACCAGCCTGGCCAACATGGTGAAATCCTATCTCTACTAAAAATATAAAAATATTACCCCAGCATAGTGGTGTCTGGCTGTAATCCCAGCTACTCGGGAGGCTGAGGCAAGAGAATTGCTTGAACCCGGGAGGCAGAGGTTGCAGTGAGCCAAGATCACACCATTGCACTCCAGCCTGGGTGACAGAGGAAGACTTTGTCTCAAAAAAAAAGAACAAAACAGTATATATAGTTTAAAGTGGTAGTCACTTGTATTCTTTCCTTCGGAGACATCATTGTTAACTGATTGATGTCCTTCCAGACCTTTTTCTAAGCGTTTATAAGTATATACATGTATGCACATACCTATAAAAACATGAAATGCATTTCAAAATTTTTTTTGAGAGACAGGATCTCCCTCTGTTTCCCAGGCTGGGGTGCAGTGGCATGGTCACGGCCCAATTGAGCCTCTATTTCTTGGGCTCAAG